CAAGGCTGGGCCGGGCTTGGCAATGCTGTGTAGGGCTTGAAAGGGCTCAAAGAGGTTGGCAAGGCTTTGAAGACTAGGGTTTGGCTGCAATTGGTAGGGCTGGGAAGAACTCAAAAAGGCTTAACAGGGCTACAAAGGGCAGGGCACGCCAAGGCTCAACAGGGCTTGATAGAGTTCGACATGAGAGCAAAAGCAGAGCAAGGGCAGGGCAAAGGCAGGGCAAAGGCAGGGCAAAGGCAGGGCAAAGGCAGGGCAAAGGCAGGGCAAAGCAAAGGCAGGGCAAAGGCAGGGAAAAGGCAGGGAAAAGGCAGGGCAAAGGCAGGGCAAAGGCAGATCAAAAGCAGGGCAAGGGCAGGGCAAAGGCAGGGCAAAGGCAGGGCAAAGGCAGATCAAAAGCAGGGCAAGGGCAGGGCAAAGGCAGGGCAAAGGCAGGGCAAAGGCAGGGCAAAGGCAGGGCAAAGGCAGGGCGAAGGCAGGGCAAAAGCAGGGCAAAGACTGGGCAAAGGCAGGGCAAAGGCAGGGCAAGGGCAGGGTAAGGGTAGGGCAAAGGCAGAGCAAAACAATTTAAAAATTTAAATTCCGTCAAAATGGAAATATATTTTTATGTTTCTGTTTTTTGTGTATGTTTGTCATTCCAAGTGTAACAGTACTAAAACACATTTTTTTAAATTTTATTGACTTAAGCTTCTGAGTATCGTACTCGGCAAATAAATAGTGCAGATGAGCAAACAATGTTTTCCTCGTTTTCAAGATAATTATGCCCTAAGGATTGGAACGGAAGACTAATTGTTTTATGTAGCTGGTGATAATGATGGTGCTGGGCTTTGTTATAACTAGAATCTTAAAAATTTTAATTTGAAAAATTTTGCAAATTTCAAAATTTTTAAACTATAAAAATTATAATTTTTGTGTTTTCTAGTAATACTAATTATTGTAAGTTCAATTTTGAACTCTTTGATGTATCTGATTCCTAATTGTATTTCATTTTGTTGTTATTACTGGCATTTTCTTTCTAATTACGTGTCTCAAGTAAGCCTTAAACAAGTTGTGGTATTCGATCATAATAACAATAAAGACATAGAAGTTAGCTTGTTAACAACATCATTATGTGTGAAAGACAATGTCATTTTCTTAATAAGGTCTTTTTTCTATAGTAAAAGGCATTTTTCGTTTTTTTTTCAAACATATTATAGTAGTCATTTTGCAAACATAATAATCTTTTTTTTTACAGGGTGAAAAATTATGATAAACTCATTTTCTTCAAAGGTTAAACAGCAAATATATCACATTTTGTATGTTGTTAGTTTTTTTGTTACTAAGTAAAGTAAAAGATAAAATACATTAAAATTTTAGAAGTTATTTGTGCAGTTTACAAAATAAATTTAATAACATGCTTCCTTTATTCATTTCCTTAGGTTTTTATAATTTTTTTTTGTTTTAAAAACTTTGAAGCTAAGCTCGGTATCAGTGAAGATCGCTTGATAATTTTAAAACTCATGCTTTTTGTTTCACGTCGCTACGTTATGTTTGAAGCGAGTTATAGCCTCCGCCGATAAATTTCGGCGTCCGCCGAGTCTCCGCCGACTTTTGAAAATCGAAAACTTGGCTAAAAATTTCATTTTCAACTGAAAAAGTGTCAAAAACTTAGAAAATTTCACCAAAAAAAGCATTTCCAACTGAAAATATGTGTAATTCCGGGGAAAATGAACATTTTTTAAAAAATCATAACGCCCTTAGTATGTACTTAAAAAATCCAAAATTTTGTGGCAAAAAACTTGTGGTTCCAAACTTTCATCATGCCAAGTTCGGCATCTGTAGCTTCGTTAAGAAGAAAATTATAGCTCGTTAGTTTTTAACATTTTTCTTGGAACACTCTGTAATTTGAACTTTTTTTCTAGTCAGTGTTACCTAAAAATCATTATTTTACGTAAAACATTTTTATCGCTTTATGCCTTGTTCTAGAACATGAACAAATGATAAAAGCACACTTGTGAACAATTTACAACTATGCTAAGAAGTATGTGATTACATTTAAACAATGTGCCTCTTCTTGTACTTATATATGATTACTTATGTTTAGTTATTATCCTTTAGCTTGGAAGCAATTAGAAGGAAATATTTGTCATTATATTGTCTGATTGTACTTGTTAACAGTTGTTATACTTATATAATTGTTGTTCATTTTATCTTGTTGTCTTATAGTAGTACTTTTTGCAAAATTCTAGGCTAGGGCTAAAGCTAAAGCTGGAGTTAGAGCTAGAGCTAGAGCTAAATCTAGAGCTAGAGCTAGAGCACAGGCTATGACTAGACCTAGGACTGAGACTGGGACTGCAGCGGAAGCAAAAACTAATGAATTTGAAGCTAGTACAGGAGCTGGGTTAGATCTAAAAAACTTTTAATTTTTACTATGACATGCCTAAAATTAAAGCTCATAAAGAAAACTGACGTTATTTCTGGCCTAAACTACTGTACTCCGCAAAGGTCCTACGAAAAGGTTATGTTTACTCTGCGCCACATGTCAGCGATATATAATTAAGACTGTTTTTTTGTTTTGTTTTTCTTTACAAGCCCAGTGATAAACGACTTTTTCGGTATCAATAAAACTGCAAATTTAAAGTACGAAAAACGAAACGAAAACGTGGCCTAGTGTACTGGAAAATAGGTAACAAGTTTTGAATACTTTTATGATGATACATTGTGTTAGAGCTACAAATATATTCTTAAGTTTTTAGGTATTTTTTCAATTTTTTATTTTGTAGAAGGGAGGGGAGATAATTATTTTTTTCTTTTTTCTTGTGTTAGGCTTGGATCCATTTTGTATTTTATTACTGTAACATATAACTGTTTCGCGGTAAAATGCAAAAAAAATTTTGATGTTTAAAATTAATACACGTCTTACCACACTCTACTCTAGTTTATTGTACCTATCTATTCTACTTTATCTTTCTTTACTCTAACCTACTCTATCTTACTTTACTTTACCTTATTCTACTCTACATTACTTAACTCTGCTTTACCTTACACTACACCACCCAGCAGCTTATAGAATTTTTGGCTGCTTTTTATAGTAATTACAACAAGTTCTCTTAGCAATGTAATTGTTAAGACATTGTAAATACTTAGGGTCACATCCTCAATAATAACATAATAGAGAAAGATGTTCAATATTCTATAGACAAACAACAACCTCGGCTTCTCGCTTTAATCGTTTTCTCATTATTTTTGGGTCCAGATTAGGTTTAGGACAAACAATTCGTAAAAGCGTCAAGAGAATCGGTTTAGGTTATGCTGAATAAGATAGGGCAGGAAAGAAGAGGTAGGGTAAAGTAGGATATGGAAGGGCGAGGTGGAGTAAAATAGTGTAAGATTGGGCAAAGTAGGGTAAAGTAGAATAAAATAGAGTAAGGGGGAATAGAGTGATAGTGTTAAGACAGGAGGGAGAGTAAGAAAAGGGGGTCGTTTTCCAAACAAAATTAGTTAAAGAACATTGCGAACAATTTGCAACTGTTAACAAGTATGCGATTATATATAAATGTGCTTTTGTGTACTTACATATGATTACTTATGTTTGGTTATTATCCTTTAGTATAAAAGTAATTTAGCGAAAAATATTTGTCATTATATTGTTTCATTGTACTTTCTAACAATTAGTGAACTAATATAAGGTCTTTTCGTTTGTTTTGTTATCTTATAAAGTAATTTTGCAAAAGTTAGGGATAGAGCTAAAGCTAGAGCGCTTCTATACCTAATTTTTTAGTCTTTTCGGTCTCCTAACTTTTTGTATCAAAGCACAAACTTACAGTAAATATGACAAAAAGATAACCTATTATGAGTAATTTATTCAACTTGACCTTGTTTTTTTAAACTAAATTATAATACTATTTACCATTATCCTTCTTATTTTAAATATTATAGACTGTATTTATTTACTTTTCACTAATTATGCGTCTTTACAATCTCGTGTAATCTCTTTTCGTCCACCACATCTCAATATCGCCTCTACCGTTATGTTAATTCGGATTTGACTTCACGATAATCTTGGGGTTTTATTTGCATTTTATGGCTTCCTGGATATTATCATAAATACGATGACTATCGGAATTTGTTTTATGTCTTTCTTCTTTTTTTTGTATTGCTTTGGTTAGGCTTTTGTATTTTTGAGATTTTTTGAAGTTTTAAAGACTATTTGCAAATATACTGTTATTTTTTTATTTTTTTTATAATTGTAAGTTTAGACCAGTACTTTTTTTAGTACTTATACAATAAAAATTATAATATGTATACATACAGTGAAACTCCTGTATAACAAACAAGTTTTAACTCCCTAGTCAAAAAACCAAATTTTCTAGCAATTTGTTATGCAGGAGTTTCACTGTATTTCAAGTTAATTTTTTTTTCAATTTTTGCTTTGTTTAGCGTTTGTTTTTTTTATTTTTCTTTTGTTTTAAAGCTTGCCTGGTTTACAATTACAACTGAAAAAACAAACGTTCGGGTTTATATTTTTGTAAGTACAGTTGAACTCCAGCATGACGAATAGATTGTGAATTTTAAATTTGTTCGTTATAAATGAGTTTTAGTATACATGAGTTTTGTTATAAATAAGCTAGTGTTGGCCGACAGATTTGAACGATGTTTGTTATACGGGCTTTTCGTTATAAGTGAGCTTGTAGTACAGGAGGTTGACTGTATATTCAAACCGATTAAAAAGCTTTATACATTGAAACAACAACGAGCTCTTTATAATTAATTCCTCATAAAAAACTTCCGTATAACGATCAAATTTTAAATCTCCGGCTAACACTAAACATTGCATCTAAAACTTTTGTATAACGAAACTCTTTTATAAAAAACAAATTTTAAATTACCGAGTAATTCGTAATACAAAAGTTCTACTTTTGTTTAAGGAAAAAGATGTTTTTTTTGGTGACGTATTTTATATTAATTACCAGTATATTAAATTCCCATTTTATTACAATGCTTTTTTAAGGTACAGTAACCCTATGCCGAGGCCTCAACGCAAAACTGCCAATGCCGAGACATTAAATTCGAAACAACTTTTGTTAAAGTAAGTGATTTTTTATGTTTTTTGTAGTTTTTGTACCTATGTATTTGTCTTCTGCCATCATTTTTATAATATAATAACACATTATATTCGTATGTCATCATTGTTATTAAAAGTGCACTATCTTTGCAGAAACAATAGGGGTCTAGATTTCATTGCCTTTAAGCTGTCTATAGACTTTTGAAGCTTACATTGTATGGTTAAATTTGTAGGTTGTCATCGAGTTAGATAAAAATCACGTAATATATAATAGTTATACAAAAAAGTTTGGATTAAAGCGTACTTTGACTACAACAAGATTTTTTCCAGAGTCAGGTTGTTTATAACGGGATTCTACTGATTTTAATACTGTCATACGTTTTTGTTTGCTCTTGGACATGTCTGATACCCTATTTTGAAATAATATTGTTATTTGATACAGTGAAAAACGGATTAACATGTCTTTAATTGACGCGATTTTATTTTAGTATGGTATCTACCCTGACATACCTTATCTTGCCCTGTCCTGCACTACCTTGCACTACCCTAGCCTATCATACTCTGAATTACCTTAACTTGCCTTCTCCCAACTCTAACTTACCTTATTATACTTTGCAGAGCTAAAAACCATACCATACTATACCTTATCCTATCTTATAAAAAACTTATCAAAACTTTTTACTTTTGGCTATATGTATTAATATCTTAAAAATGACGTTACTCAAGCCTTCACATTGAGAAGACCAAACAGATCTATTGCTGTGAAAATTCGTACGAATATGTTTAGATATAGCATTATCCAAGCAATGTACTGATAACATAACGAAATTAAGCTCAAAAAATCCCAAAAGATAAGAGAACCAATGCTAAGCTGATTAGTGATAAGCTTTAGTGTCTTACAAGCTGATATTATCAAAAAATATTAATTATCATTACAAACTGCTTCGATTTATAAATACTGACACTAACTATAATATGTTACCGTTTAGCGTGGACAACGGCTATGGCGATTGTAACTACGAAGCGAATCAAGCTGAAAGCGTCTATAGTGATAACGAAGATCATCATGAAAGCTGGAAAAATTTTTTAAAAAGTAGGATCATATTTTTATAAGTAATGGCTATATGGTACTCAAAATGACACTTTGTTACCTAACAAATAAAATTTATAATTTTTAAAATTTTTTGAAATTCTTTGTTATGGAGAAGTTCGTTACATAAAAAATTGTTTTAATGCCATTTTTAGGACACTGTAAAAATGTGATCCACTTTTTCGTGGAGGACTGGTTCCTATCCGCCATGTTGGGCTTTATCACAGCTATATTATCCATCACAGTTGATGTTGGCTACGAGTACATGAACCATTGTAAGTCTAAAATATAAATTGAAGCCTTTTTGGAATAGCTTTTCATAAAAAAGACCTTGTAGAAATAGTCCTATATACTTTTGACAAGCCTTAACAAAAGCAACGAAAAGCAACTATTGATCGGTCGCAACAGACGAAGTGTCAAATAAACTATTTTTACGAAAAAATTTTTTTTTTATTTTTCTAGCCTTTTTTGTTCAATTTTAATATTTTTGATGCTTTTATGCTATTTTTAATGTATTAATCATTTCCTTCCAGACCGAGCAATAATCTACGACAAAGCCATTCAAGTTGACTACGTTCTCGGTTTCACGTCATGGATAACATACCTGGTGGTCTTCTGCTCTCTAGGTGCTTTAACATGCAAGTACATCTCGGCTCAAGCTATTGGATCAGGAATTCCGGAAGTGAAAGTGATAATGAATGGCTTCTCCCTTCACAATTATCTCACATTTAGAACTTTGATTGCCAAGATGTTGAGCTTGACCATGGTGTTGGGAAGTGGAATGCCATTGGGAAAGGAAGGTCCATTTGTGCATATGGGAGCTATTGTAGCTACTTTGTTGTCCAAAATCACTAGGCAATGGCAAAACAAGGCGTTTTTTACGAATGAAGGCAGAGAGGTTGAGATTCTGTCGTCTGGATGCGCTGTGGTAGGTTATTTTAGGTATAAAATGGGGTTAAAAGTTAGGTAAATAGTTGGCAACGGTAGAGATAAAGAAGAAGAGTATAATATCAAAATATGATTGACTAGCATTTGTTTTCTTCAAAATTCGCTTAAAAAAATGTAAAATATTTTAATTCTCTAAAGGAAAATCTATATTATTTTAGATATAACGTTAAACTACGCTAATTTAAATTAAATACTTATCTTTCAGGGCATCGCTTGTACATTCAGTGCTCCAGCTGGTGCAGTATTGTATGGAATTGAATCGACTCACAAGTATTTTGCGGTCAAAAACTATTGGCGAGCGTTCTTCGCCACGACTTGTAGCGCATTGATCTTTCGATTTGCGAACGCTGCTATTATTCCACCTGATATTGGTACGTTTTCTTTACTTTTTATATTGCTTTAGATATGAAGTTTTATAATTTGTGGGTTTTGTGTGAATTTTAGGCTTATAAAAGGCAATTTTTAGGGTTTTAAGCTTGAGGGATAGTTTTGGAAAACGACTTTTTTTGGGCGTTTTTAGGTACCTTTTTTAACTTTTTTTTGGATGTTAGAGGCAGTAAATAAATAGAATAAGCAATCAAACCTATTTCCAGCGGGAACAATCACTGCATATTACCAAACCAGCTTTCCAAACGAAGTGTTTTTAATCGAGGAAATCCCTGTTTTCATGTTGATTGGTGTTCTATGTGGACTAGCTGGAGCGATGTTCTTGATGGTACACAAAAGGATTACATACATTCAGAAGAACAACAGAATCTTCAAAAAATTGTTTGGAACGTCGTAAGTTTGGACTTTAATGTTAAAATTTTCTGCTTTATACCTACTGCCCTAGAGGTATTTTTGCATTTTTTTTTGAAAAAAAATGATTTTTAAAATTTTTTTTTTAGAAATTTGATATTATCATACCTTATCAGTATTAAAACCCTTTTCTTTTAGTGGCTTCTCCTTCACGGTGTTTATGGCCCTGGTTGTAGGCTTAATAACCTTCCCAGATGGCTTTGGTAAATACGTTGGTGGTCGATATACATTCCGTGAGACTATCAGCGACTTGATTAGTAATTGTACGATGAGTTTGTACAATACGACTGGTATGGGCTGTCCTGAGCATTTTTTGAAACGGTGGGCGACCAGTGGTGATTATGACAGTTTTGTCATCTTGAGGACTTTGATGGGGTACTTTACTATCAACGTGAGTTGATTATGCTGTTTCAGGAGTACTAGTAGTACTATACTTACAGTACTAGTAGTATAACATTTGTTTACAGTACTATTAGTAAAATCCTCTTAGTACTAATACTGTAAAACTTATAGTACTAGAGTAAGGTAGTTATTTTATTACTCGTAGTATTAATAATACTATTTCTAGTACCAGAATTTAATGCTCATGTATAAAATTTATGTTTCAGTATTTCCTAGTGGCAGTATGCATTACCCTAGCCCTACCAGCAGGTATCTTCGTACCCTCCTTTGTCTTGGGAGCAGTCGGAGGTCGTGTGATTGGCGAGTTGATGGTACTGATGTTTCCTGAGGGCATACGAGGCCCAGATGGCCCTCAAATATATCCAGGATTATACGCTGTAGTCGGTAAGTGTTATTCTAGGGATTTGGTTATCATTTTTGGTAAATATTTTACGATTAATAATAGTTACGGGGACTTATATTGGAATTGGTCATAGTTATGGGGAAATATGTTGGAGTTGTTGATAGTTATGGAGAAATATGTTGGAATTAGTCATAGTTATAGAGAAATATGTGCTTTAGTGATGTTTCTAGATAAACACACTGGATTGAGCATAAAAATAAATAAATATATGGCATTTTACGACTAATATAGATAATGATAGGGAAAAACAAGCAAATACACGTAGCTTTGGATAATACATTAATTGAGGGAAAAACAAAAATTGTGATAAGTGGAAACATTTTGAAGGGATTTTTGTGTTTTGACTACACATGAGGAAGAAATAGAGCCACTATAAACTGAGGGATACTGTTATATTGTTTTAGGTACTATAGTTTCAAAGGAATATGTTTCAAAGTGCTTATTAAAATTTTTAATTTGATTTTAGTAGGCGTATTTTACATATATTTATATATTTAGATTTATGCCGTATGTTCAAATAATATGAAATTGTTTTTCAGGAGCCGCTGCGTACACTGGAGCCATAACGCACTCCTTGAGTATCGCAGTCATCGTTTGTGAAACCACTGGACAGTTATGCGCTTTATTACCTGTTTTGGTACGTTTTTAAAAGTAGAAAGGAACAAAGGAAAGGAAAATTTAGACATGCTTGGTTCTGGGCGTGTGATATCACCTTTTTTTTGTTGGGGGTAGACCTATAAATTGGCTAGTCAGTTTTTTGGCTCGGTTTTTTAAACTTTTATTTGGCTGCCTTGGTTCGGATTATAGCCTTTGGGCCCACCGGTGGCAGACCGAATAACTCTGTCAGTTTGTGATTTAGTCAGGCATTCCGAGCTCACATTTGCCGGCTGGGTTCTTTTCTAATTTGCTTTAGCCCGGGTTGAGACCGGACCTAGTAAACTTCCTTTCAGGTCTATTTGAGAGGGAGTGTGAACAAAAATAAAAAAAAATTTTTTTTCGAAGAAAAAATTTAGTAGTTTTGTATAATATTTGAAACTTTGGCTTTAGATTGCCCTAATGATTGCAAATGCGGTCAGCAGTTTCCTACATCCGTCAATCTACGAAAGTATTATCATAATCAAACGATATCCGCATTTAACCGAACTTCCACCTTCAAGGATAAGGTAATAAGACTACACTGCTTCTCTTTAAGCATTTGAAACGAAAATTTTTATTTCTTGTGACTGTGTGGTGCTAAAATTCGAAAATTTTGACTTTTTGTTATGGTATGGTACTATACCAAGCCAGCTTTCCAAAGGGTAAAAATGAAAAAAATGGTCATGTTTACCTCAAAATCTGTTAAATGTAAAATACGCAGTTTTACCTCTATATTGTATTTTTCAGTGTCCATACTCTAAAAGTGGAGCAAATAATGGTACGCGATGTTGTGTACATCACAAATAAGACAACATACAAAGAGTTGAGGGAACTATTGATCAACACACCGCAGCTACGATCTTATCCACTCGTTACTAATGATGGTAAGTTTAACGTCTGTGTATAACAAGGTAGAGGTTAAACTTTAATAATTCTTAGAATTAACTTTCCTTTACCATAAAAGCTCTCTGTCTACCATTTTCAATGTAAATTTCTTTTCAGAAGACCAAATTCTATTAGGATCAGTAGCCCGAAAGTATCTAAACTATCTTCTTAATGTTCATCTGGGTGCTGATCCTCTATTGTCTAACCGACCTTCTTCTCGACAGTCGAGAAAAAGCAAAAAGGACGAGAATGGTCACACAATCACAACTAAAACCTTCTCTGGCAACACACTGTTGTCTATCAGTCCGCTTCATGAGGATAATAGTAAGTGGCTAAACTATGAAAATTTTGTGTTTTGAAAAAAAAGTTTGGTTGTTTTGGATGGAGAACAACTTGAAGTTAAAAAATTTTTTAATTTTTAGAATGCCAAAATACGTTGAATAACATTTTCCGTCGGCCGAATCAGCCTTTGGATCCTTTCAGTGAAATTCGAGGGGTAAGTTGCCTTCTGCCATTTCTGCTTTCATAACATGTCAAAATTTATTAAAACGTTTTTAATAGCTTCTTAATACAGCTTTTTAAAAGCTTTTCAATACAGCCTCTAATAAAATTTAAATATTTTCAATAGCTTCTTAATACAGACTTATAATAACTTCTTAATAAAGGACCAGTTCACAAAAATAACGTTAAACATTGTCAGGGTTTCATACGAAACATTTTTTCCACGGCTTCGTTTTATCGAAAATACGAGCCGGATTTGACCATGACACCAGTAGGTTAGGTATCGTACGGTCAGCTTTTCGATGTGATAAACTTGAGTTCGGTAGTTGTGATTAACCCTGATTGTACAACATACTTTTGCTTTGCTTTTTTATTATATAGTTTTCGCGCTTAGTTTTTGGTTTTTAAGCTTAAAGTCTTTGTTTCATAGCTTTGAAATTGGAAAAAAAAATAGTTTTTTTTGGCTTGCTGTGTGACTCCTTTTTTCCCCTTTTTTTCTAGGCTTAGACGCTTATTTAGACTTAATTTGATATGATTTTTCAAAATTTCAAATTTTAACACAAAAATATCTTTATTAGTTTGGTCAAAAAGTATGTAGAACAAGATAAAATTACCTATTCTTGTCCGAAAAATAAGTTTTTCAGCGCGCGTCAAAAAAAATTGGATGATTTTGTTAAGCAAATCCATTAAAACGCACCCAATTCTTTTTGACGCGGCATCAAAGAAGAGTCATTTTTGCTGTTTCAGGTAATAAAATGTTTTTTTTTGTTATAAAATATGTTATAATATAAATCTGTTGTAAAATAACAGTTTTTGGTTTGTCATGAACAATAATTTTTAGAAACTTTAAATTTTTGACCAAGCTAGTACTATACCTTCAAAATTAATATTTCCGTTTGCTTCGCTAACCCCACTAACTCGGCTTTGTTGTGTGTTTAAGATGATGATCGTGTCTGACTTTTTGGATATTCAGCCCAATAGTGCGCTTCGAGATCACGCCAAGAAATTGGAAAAAACGATCGATTTGGACGAGTTGGCAATCGACTCAGCACCATTCCAACTGGTACTGGGAACATCATTGTACAAGGTTCATACTCTATTCTCGTTGCTGAGCTTGAACCATGCTTATGTTACGCACAGAGGAAAATTGGTTGGAGTTGTGGCTTTGAGAGAGGTAGGTATGGGTAAGGTGATGGGTACTACAATATAAAATTTTATTTTTTAATTTTTTGATTGGATTAGCGGTTAAGAAAGCTATAATAAGACTCACAAATGGTTTAAAACTAATATTTTAGCTTTTGAAGGTAAAAAAAATTTGACATTTCGTTATAGATTTTTTCAAAAGCATTACATTTTGTGACATTATGCTTAAAACTATTTTTTACTTCAACACATGTTTTTATATGTTAAATACGCGTAGTAATGATTTATCTTCCATGTTGATCAAAAAACATGTTTTTCATGGTGTTTTTTAAAAGTTTGATATTTCGTCAAAAATATTGATTTTTTCAATTAAAGCATAAAAGTAGGACGTATTTTTGTGAAATGGAAATTAAAAATGAACTTTTTAGCTACGGCTAGCCCTAGCGGACATCTACACTCGAGGTGCCGTGCCAAACCGTGCTACTAGCATAATGTCGATCAATAACATGTCACGAAACGTTTCTCAAATAAAACTAGACGGATTTGCCAAAGATGAGGATGACGAGGAGGAAAAACCTAAAATTAATGTTGTTGGAGCTTCTGAAGACGGTACCATCTCCATGGATGGGCTGATTCGGCAAAGCGATACTGACGAAAGTGGTCCTAACAGTCCTGTCTCTAATGTTTAATGAGTTATTAGTACTAGCTATATAATTGGCTTTATACGATACTCTTAGTATTGTCTTATATAGTACTATGAGCACGATAAAGTACTAGTAGTGCTTGAATTAGCTTCAATCAAGTACGTTTTTTACATATTTACTTTGTACATAGTCTAATATACGATTGTCGTGTTTTATGTTTTTTACTGTAGTAAATCTTAATTTTTACAATTTTTATTTACTTTTCAGTTGCATTTTTGATGTTATAAGCATAATATTGATCTACCACAACATTATTATCGGTCTTTACAGTTGCAATACACCATTTTATATAATACTGCATGTTAGAATCTAACCCTACGAGTCTCCTATCATAACCCCAGTTTATTTTTAAATCTCACGAGGTATCTCATTCAATTATACGGTAGTCTTTTTACTATAACTAACAGTTGTATTTTCTTTTTTTTGGAAAATTTGTTTACAATAAACCTTTACTTAAAACTTTTAAATTTTAAGGGGGGGGGGGCGTACAGGGCGGTTATTTTTGGTTAGCCTCCCCTTTTAGCTCGCTCCCAATAAAAATTTAAAGGTAAAAAATAAAGTGTTTTAACCCCTCCCCCACCTAAAGTGAGTGTAATAAGCATAAAATTGTAAGGTTTGTTTACGTTTGTATACCTTGCAGCAATAACCACTTAATCCACTCTGTACCCACAGACAGCGCTTACCTAAACTCTTACCTAAAAGGGCGACTTGGGATTAAAAATAACCTCAAATGTTTTCAAACCCAATGTAATCATAGCCAGAATACTATTGTTTTTTGTGTTGTATTAGAAAAAATGTTTTAAATTATTGATTTTTTTGTAAAATACGAAATGTTTTAATTTTAAAAAAACCCATTTTAAGAGTTTTTTTAAAATTATACACAAATAGTCGTTAATACTATAACACTAGTCAATGTAAAAACCTAGCCGTCAAAGAATATATACTTTCACGTTTTAAAACGAAAAAACGTTTTTGACGCGCCAGTACCAGTAGTACCTTATACAACCTTATAAGCATAACCTTATTATTAATATTTATCTATAGCTTATCAAAACATGGGTGATCCAAACCGAAAACAGCGGTATTCGGTCAGTTCGATGCCTCTTAGACCTGAAGAGTACAAGATGCGAGTTGCCTTGATGAGTGAAGTAGAGAAAAGTATTCATCATGGTGGACAAGTGCAAGTACTAGTCAGTTCAGACCGTACTGGGCTCCACCGTACTTCAATCGTCTCTTCAGCTTTTGAATTTCAAAGTGCTGACCAAATTCTGGATTATTTGGGTATGTTGCAATTGGAAAAAAGGTATTCAATCAACATTACAGGCTTCAAAAGTCCAATAATCATGTACACGGTTCTATGCATGGCAATATGCTGGAGCTTGGCCATAATGACAATTATGTGTTCGCATTTCTACGAAACTGGCATCGAATGTGAGCACGGTGATAAGAAATGTATTGAAGAGGCGAATGAAATGCGGACGATTGAAAAACAGTTCTTCTCCGGCAAGGACCAGTGGCTAGGTCCTGAATGGTCGGCTTCAATCTTCTTCATTGGAGACCTGCTTGGTGGTATCACGCTTTCTTATTATGCAGATGTGTAGGTTTTTTTTCGTCATCTTATTTTAATGTTACGGAAGATATATGAATCATGTTTAAATTGGCAATGGAAACTTTTCGACCTCCCTTTTTTAGTTATACTGTATACCATATAGCAAAATATTTTTTAGCCACGGTAGAAAGAAAATCGTATTTCCATCAATGTTTATAATGGGATTCCTGCTGATTGTATCTACATTTGCCACAACTTTGATCGGGTTTCTAGTGCTACGCTTCATGGCTGGATTCTTTTTGACGGTAAGCTTCATTACTGTATCCTATTGTAAATTGAAATTGTAATATGTCATTGTTAATTCATATATGCTTCAGGCCTCCTTTGTAATCGTATGGGTCCATGCCAGTGAGTGTATCAGTTCAAGGTACCATATTATATTATCTGTCATCTTTGGATTCACATGGGTAATTGGATATGCTTGTGTAGCTCTTATAGCAACATTCCTACACGATTGGAGACAAGCAACGGTGATCGTAGCGGTTCCTCAGCTTATAATCTCTTTTTCACTTTGGTTGTAAGTTTAACTTTCATATCGTTGAATTCAAACATTAAACGGACGATTTAGCTCAGAATTTCTGTGCTAAAGGCCTGATAATGAGTAATCTAATATGTTAGTTAATATAATACATATTTCAGTACCATCCCAGAATCCTTCCAATTCGTAGTAGAAAAACGACAAACAGCAGAACTTCATATGTGGCTAAAATCATCAAGAAACCCTTACCTTGACCAGAATGTGGATGCAGAAAAGTTCATTCAACGTACTCACAAACACAAAGGAGATGATGGTGCTGATGACCTAAGCGGATTCGTAAAATACCTACGTGAACATGGATCATTGATCAAGATTGTCATCATGTCGGCTTGTATGTGGTAAGAAACTTCATTTTTCAAAGTTCTGGCCAGGGCAATATGTAGAAGAGGGTTTTGAACTGAGCTTGGCAGTACAGCCCGGCTTGAACCTGACGGCAAAACGCCCGATAGGCTTCCAGCTTTGATAATAGGTTATTTCTAATATCTAAAATAAAGAAAACAAAAGAAAAAGTAAAAAAAGCACGTAAGGTAATATAAATCTAAAATAAAACATACCTAAAAACATAAGTATCTTCCAGGATTTTCACCTTCTTATGGTACCTTGGCTTGTCGATGCAGAGTACCTCACTCGGAGGTGATGCCTACAAAAACTTTTTGTTGTCAGGCCTTGTAGAGATCCCGGGCCACATTCTAAATCCAGTTTTGCTCAAATATTTAGGCAGAAAACGTACCACAGTAACTGTATACACGTTGGGTACGATATGTCTTCTTGGCCTTTCGTATGTCGAAAACAGTAGGTTTTAAATGATTTTGTGACAGGTTTTAATTGACTAAATTAAGAAAAAAACTTAAATATAAGGTAAAAAATACATTGCCTTTATAAAATTCGCAAAACTCTGCTCCAAAGACCATTTTCGCATCAATGTCATAGACGACCAGATTTATCATGGATAATATAACTTGAGCCAATTAAAACAAAACATTAAAATAATACTCAAAACAATAAAAATATCTTCAGCTCAATCCCAGCTGTATTTATCAGTTTGGTTATGCGCCAAATCCTTATCGGCCGCAGCCTTTATGAACTTATTCATCAACGGAGCCGTCATCTTTCCAACGGCTATAAGGAATTCAGCAATGGGTATCTGTGCGGTATGTAGCAATATTGGAGCTTCAATTGGACCACACATACCTCATTTGGTAAGATTTTTATTAAACTTCGCGAACAGCGGCTGTTTAGCAGCTTATAACATGTACAATCGATAATAAATTATATAATCCAAGCTAAAATTAAACTGAGGGACTTCAAAACATAAAACAAACCAGAAATTTGAGCTTTACATTATCAGTCACCTAAAAACTACTTACGCTTTCTAGAAAAAGTTTGGCCACCCAGTACCGTGGATTGTCTTTGGACTAGCTACGGCCGCTTCAGGGATACTGGCGAATTCAATGCCCAAAGCTGAAACTGACGATGAAGAAGCTCCAAATGGATATGTTGAAGTACCTTTAGTTGAAGAAGAATAAAGTTTAATTAATGACAACACTCGTAGTCAATTTTTTGAATTTAGAAGGTTGCCTGACTTCTCTAATTAACCAGTTGAGGCCTTCGTATAAAATGTACAGTGCACTGCATCCTTTGCTAGTAAGCCTTATCACTGATAAATAACTAAAGAAAGTTTAATCTCCCAGACATAGCCTCTTAAAACCTAGTCACACAAGAATAACGGGAATACAAAACCCATACAAGCAATGTTTAGATTTAATCGACGAAACAACATAAGTTCATTTTACCACGTTACTTCAATAAAAAATTTCTGTACAAGATAGTTAGTCACTTTACAATAACAATAGTGCTGGCCGGTGAATGGAGGAGTTAATTTCGCAATCGGAACTTGGTTTTTACGCGATTCGACCTGAAAATGCCATAATATTAAGTATAATAATATAAGGTTTATAAAAATTCGTCATAACGACATATTTACTGAAAAAGTCTTCATAACGACGTATTTATACAAGAGGTTTCAAAAAGAAACCTAAAAATTTTATAATATACCAAAAGCCAGGGACGCCGCTACGGTTTTTCTCTGGGGGGGGGGGGAGGTCGAAAAATTTTTTTTGGGACCGATTTTTCAAAAAATTTTTTTTTCGTTTTTCCGCGTACAACCTACCTGTGGATTTTTTTTCGGATCGGCTCTGGGGGGGGGGAGTCACCCCGAACCACCCCCTCCCCCCAAACGACGTCCCTGCCAAAAGCAATGACTTTTCAATAAAAGTTCCTTTAAAACTCATAATTTCAAAAACTCCAAGTTATAGATAATACAAGTTGTTATAACATACCAGTCGGGCAAATCAAAACTGTCATCAATCGGCGCTATGGAGCTCTTTCTTCTATCGTAAGCTACTGGGATTGGTACATATTGTCGTCGATTCGGTGTGAATTTAGCTGTTGGTGCAGTAACTGGAGGTCGATAATCTCTCGCAATGTCAGCCATCTGAAAAGCAAAAAAAATAAAAGAAAGTGTCATAAAAATCAATCACAATTTGAAAATTTTTTAAATATGGTTTCAATTCAGCATTATTACCTAAAAATACTTTTTTATCTAAAGTTTTTCCTTGAAAAACCTTTTTTCCATAATTTATTACCTAAAATTCATTTTACTTTAACTTATTACCTAAAAATACAAATTTTCTCCAAAAATCATTATCATGTGCCCCTTCTTAAAATTTTTAAATGTTTTCGAAGGCACAGAATTATTTGAACAAACTAATAAATTTTATAAAAACCCTCCCCAAAACACGCCTCCTTACAATTTCATCCATGCTGTCCTGACTACAATTCAGATCCTTCTTCTCCTCTGCCTTCCTGATCTTCTGTACTTGTTTAAAGAACATGTTTGTGGCTTCATTCTCCTTCTTCTGATACCTCAAAGTACCCCTCTCCTTTAAGTTTGCATTGTTCAGTTCTGCGAAGACATTCATGACCGGATTCAGATCGATTTGTGATTCATTTAGATCATCTTTGTTCTTCTTCTGAATCTTCATCTTCGCTGCCTGTTCCTTACATTCATCGGCCGTGAAAGCGCCTTCAAAGTTTTCGCTTATGATTTCCCAATCTCTGACAGTTGAAGGGTTGAACATCTTGACCAGACCTTTGAGTCTTTCCTTATAATCAAGGTTCCAGGTTGCTTTCCGCTTTTTAGGAGTGGCTACAGGAGTTGTGGGCTCGGATTCGAGTTGTTCCTTTGATGTTCCGGCTAAAAAATAAAAATTAGTGTTAAAAATATTACCTAAAACATAGAAACAAGTAAAATTTATAAAATGTTACCTAAATCTCAAAAAGAAATTTAAAATGACGAAAGGTATGTAAAATGTTACCCAAACTTTTCAAAAACAAATTTAAATCCAAAAATTTTATAAAATGTTACCCAAAATATAAAAACCCTCAAATTAATTCCAAAATTCATCTAATATTATCCTTACCCTGTGAACTTTCATCCAACTCCGCACTCTTCTTCTTCCTAGCACTTGACCTTGTAGCAGCCGAAGTAGGTTTGCTTTTACTCTTCACACTCTTCTTGTTCTTCGGCGTAGTCTTCTTGGCCGTCTTCTTGGGACTCTGTTTCTTTGGCTTCTGAATCGTCTTTACCCTCTTGCTCTTTCTATTCTCTTTCTGTTCTTCCTCAACTTCCTCGTCTTCTGAATCGCTCATTAATCGTCTTCTGGCGGGTTTTCTACATGGTAAAGGTGTTGGTTCGGCTTGTGGTTCGTCCAATGACATTTCATCCAAAGACTTGTAGTCATCTTCACTGTCATATTCCACTAGAGGTTTTCTTTTGCCTGCAGTCGAGGATCGTCGTCGTTTTTGAGACTTTTGGGTAATATTGCTGAGACGTCTTTCTTTTTGTGATGGGGAGTCTGGAGCTTCCATTCCAAGGCTTTTGGCAATCGCAAACTAAAAAAAACGTAAAAATAAACGTTGAAAAGAAAAAATAAAACTTTTCAATAACAAATTTTTCAAATTTTAAAAATCAATTTTTTATGGCTGACTCCCTTTTAGTCTTCTATTTTTGAGACAATTATAACATTATTAGCACTGAATGTAACAGTGACACAAAAATAATAAGCAAAATAAGCTACCGACCGTATTTTAACTTAGAAAATCTAAAATTACCAACCCTTTCAATGGCAAACAAACTTACAATACTCTGACTAGCCGTGGGATTCAAGTGAGTTCTCGTCGTATTCTGACGAATCTCCACAATATCACCATCCTTATCATAGACAATTCGTTCTCCAGCTCCTAGCCTTGGCTTCAGGAGACGACCACGTTTACTTCGCTGAAGGTCTGGTAAATCAAATGAATCTGTCATATTTGCCTGACTTGACCTTCTAGTGTTGTTTTTACTGGTCCTCCTAGTAGTGTTTTTAGATGATCGAGTTTCTCCTAGATCATTACTGTTCTCTTCTTCTATTACCGCCATATCTGGTGCTTTAGACATACGACGAGAGTACTGTGATTGTCTTCTTGATAAGAGTGCAGATTCGGGTTGTGAAGGCTGAAATTTCGATATTAAAAAGTTTTTATTTAAAAATTCTTCTTGTACCATTAGAAGATAAAATAACATCATTGATTTACTGATATTTTTAAAAAACGTAAACTCTTATAGTCAGGGACGTCGCTACGGATTTCCTCTGGGGGAGGGAAAAGGCGAAAAAAAATTTTTCGTCCACAGCTACCTGTGGACCGATTTTTCTAAAAATTCTTTTTTCGTTTTTTCGCGTACAAGTCTGTGGAATTTTTTTCGGATCTGCTCTGAGGAAGGGGGTACCACCCCCTATCCCCTCCCCCAAACGACGTCCCTGCTTATAGTCACTTCTTAAAAGTACATTTAAAGTCCCATTTATTACCTAAAAATACAAAAAGTTTTAAAATCGTACCAATCCCTGTCGTCCTACACTAATTTCACTTATTTCACTGATGTCACTTTTGTCTTCCTGCTCCTCTGCCTCATCTTCTCCCTCTGACCAATCTGATGGAATAGCAACTTCAAAAGAATCATCGCTTTTAGCCTCATCATCATCTTTTACATCTGATTCATCCAGTTCTCTCAACGTATCATCTTCATTATCACTTGTATCCAAATTATTATCCGCTATCACATTTTCACCTCTAGTTCTGACGCCATTTTGCTCAACATCAACACTAACTTCACTATTGTTGTCAAAATCAAGCGTTCTGTCTACATCGACGTTTTTGGTACTAAATCTACCTTCATATCTGGCATCAGATCTATTTCCATTCCTAGCGCTAGATTTAACTTGACTTCTCGTACTACTGCTACCTCTTTGTGTACTAACATTGTTGTCGATGTCGGTTCTTTTGTGAATTTCAACAAAGTCCGTCATATCAGTGTCAATCGTTTCTTTTGTCATTTCTGAATTTTTGTCAGTTTCAATATTATCTTCGTCCTCCACTGTTACATCAGCATCATTAGGAGCAAATGCTTCTTCTTGACGTGACTTCTTAACATCTGCTACCGCTGACAACCTAAAAATAGATTATAAAGTGTAAAATGGTAAATTTTTATAATATTAATACCTAAAATATTAAAAAAGCTAAGTAAACCTTGCTTTCAAGTTTAATGTTTTTAAACATAAAAAAAACAGTTAAAAACTTACAATGCTTTGACGTAGATAGTAATTTCTTCCTTCCAATTAACAGGAAACCCCAGTTTAAACTTATTAATAAATTCCACATCAAATCCACCTAAAACATCAACATTAAGTTTCAAACATTTATAAAACGACAAGTCACAATAAATTTTAAGTATAAAATCCTATTTCTAAGCCAAACAATAATCTCTTTTAAAAACCGTATTATGAAACTCAAAATCTAAAACAAGATAACCTTATTATACCTAAAATAATACAAATCTTACGCTGAACCAATTTCTCCTTGTCAATTGAACCTCTAATCTCGTAGATAGTGTTTTGAGTATAAAGTTGACAAGGTGGCACAACTTTACTAATTTCACTGCTTGTCCATTGAGCTCCAGTATCTGTCCTCAAACCTTCGACCAAAAGTGCAAAATTTGGAAAAATAGCACCTTGAACCACCCATCTAAATTGAAGTCTCCAACCGACCAGTACTACAACGTTCCTCTTCGGCACTATAACAAGAAGCTTTAGTAAAATAGAATAAAACCAGAATAAAATTGACAACTTTCATATAGTAAATACCCATTTACTAACAGTTTTAATTGTAAAGCAACTTAAAAAGACAAAAACAAAATCGAAATACTTACCATTGACTAGTTTAGGAATTTTAGAAGATGTTTCGGCAGCCTTCCTTCCACCAGACCTTCTTTTCGGCGGCTGAACATTAGACAAAAAGTTTAAGGTATCATCCATGCCTAAAACCAAATTAAAATTAGTAAAATTACAAAAATAATGTATACATTGCTACCAACAAACAACAAGAGTTCCGTTACAACAAAACAAATGAGAATAAGATAAGTCAAAGTGGATTATGAACTACGAAACTCAAAATAAACCCTCATATTATAACTCAAAACCCTACAAAATTAAAAAACAAGACAGTGTATTACCTAGAAATCAATCCCAATTAGCACAAAACTTTATCGTTCAGTAAAACCAACCACAGTTTCATCAATTTTCCTCCTTTTTCAATAAAAAACAAAAAAATCCGAAAATCTTCATCTTTCGAACAATTCTCGGCGCGCGAAGCGTTTTCGCGATGAGACCAATACCTTATTCTTAAATTGACCGTTGCAACGCGTTGGACATAAAATCAAATGGTATTTACCGTGCTTATCGGAAACAGTTAAAATTTACTACACAATAATTAGTTTTTTTTTAGTTTTTAGTTACAATACAATGTCACAACAAGAAGAAGAAGAAGTATCATTTGTTATAATATATAATATACATAACAAATATTATTTTATTTATTTTTTAAATAGATTATAAACTTAATTGACCTGTATTTTAGATTGTATCTCTCTTTAACATACTTCAAAGTTTAAAACTTCAAATGAACACTCAAAAGTCAATAGTGACACTCCGTACTTTGTTTTACTTGTTTTTTCTTTTCCGCTTCCGAGACCACAAGACTTGTTATTTCACACGCATTTTGCGTAATTTTGTACATTTTCAAACAAATTTCAAAGCAGTAATTTGAAATGAGGTTTTAAATTGTTTAATTTGTCATATTAGAGAACAGTTTTGGTTGTAAAAGGTTGTTTTAGTCTGTAAAAGTCGGTTTGTTGCTGTAAGTTATTTATAAAACAAGGTAAACACGTTTTTGACGGGTTTGTTTGTTTAGAACCGCTGAACTTTATTATTTTTGCCAGTTTTTTATTGATTTTTATGCGCTTCCTAGCTTTGCTTTAGACTTTGAGATTTACAGCTATTTTTGGCTATAATTATCTATGAAAACATGAGATAGAAAGCAGAATAATAACGTGAAAACCTTGGGAAAACGTTTTATTACAACGGGTTGGGGATTGATCGACTTTGCAGCGCTTCTTGGAAACATTTGGATGCGTTTCTTGGTTTGAAATTTGGTCGACATCACGTTGATTTAGAAAACATGATTGTTAACATTGAAGCTTATCGAATGTTTTTAAATTTTTATGCTGATTATGTTTACGTGAATTAATTCTTGCTATATTGATATAAACCCAAAGGTTTGAACCTGACTAAAGTTGTTTATTTTTAGAAACCTATAACAATGTCCTCGGGACAAGGTGGTGTCAAGAATAGGCGAATTTCGCTGGGTTCGCCTACCGATTTAAAGGAAGTGCACTTTTTTGAGGAAGAAGAGGTCCCAAGTATTCCGCCAACCGGAGCTAGAGTTAAGGTAAATAATATTTCATGAAGTTATTGAAATTTTAGACCATACACTAATCTGACATGAATAACTTAATTTTTACTTAAATGCGAATAATTAATGGCTGCTTTTTTTGTTATTATATGAGTAAAAATAGATCATAATGCATGGTATTGTAAAGTTTCATTATGTTTTGGGTTAAATTTAAGGATTTAATAGAAGTTGTTTTAGGTGTGCTATGCTGGTGTATGTTTGACTGAAAAAGAGATTACTAACACAAAACAAGCTAGGATTACAAATGGTGTTAAGGATACAAGTCTGTTTCCGGGTATGTCAGTTTTACTTGTTTTGTTTTTGATTTAGAAAGTTTGGGGATTTTTTATTGCGTAAAGACTATCAATGTGTACTACAATATAATATTCTAAGTTTATTGGCCATAAATGTCGTTTGCCTTTATTGGATCTACTGTTATATATTAAAAACTGTTAATAAAATGCTATTTTTCAGGTTACGAAGTGTCTGGCGTGATTGAATCTTTCGGTGATCAAGCCAAGCCAGAAGAACATGAGCTTAAAGTTGGTGATAAGGTTATTGTCTGGCCTACTGATGAAATGACTAAGCATGGTTATGCTGACTTTGTTTCTGTGCCTCAGCTGTCTTTGTTGGTTAAGATTCCAGACAGTATGAGCATGCACGTAGCTTCAATTCTGCCTGCCGGTGCTACTTGGGCTTTGTCGGCTGTTGTTCATGTAAGTTAATATCAATTTTACGCGTTCTTGTGCTGTCTCTTTAGAAGTTAAAGCTTTGTTTTGAGTATTTATAGAAAGATTTATATAATTTCAGGCCAGACCCATTGTTGAAGCTTTGGCCGCCTCGAAGGGCTTCTGTAACATCTTGATTGTTGGAGCTGGAGGTCTGGGCTTGTGGTTGTTGAAGTTGGCCAAGCACTTCTTGGCTCAGCCGGAAAAGAAGATTAAGATCATGGTTGCTGATGCGAAGGAAGAACGTTTGTGTTTGGCTGAAAGAAATGGAGCCGACTTTGTTGTTCATTGGGACGATTCGGGTACGTTATATTGTTATTGAGTTTAACTTTTACGTTTTGATACGTTGGAGCGCTGTTTAATGATATTTCGGTTTAAAAAAGTTATGTCTATAGTACCACAAAAAATGACAAAAGCGACCTACTTATGCCTAAAAATCTGCGCTGGTATGAGTCGAAACTAGCTATGACTACAGATTTCAATATAAACTCATTTTTTTTTGTTTTCAGAATTCGAAGAATACCTGATCATGCGTACCAAAGACGTAGCCCGTACTGGAGTTCAAATTGTATTTGATTTTGTCACTTCTCCCCGTACCGTAACTCGTTCACTGAAGTGTCTAGTAGAAGGTGGAGTTCTCTTTGTTGGAGGTCTTTCGGGTCTCGATGTACAACTTCCAATCAAAATGGTAGCCACAAACCGATTGGCCATTATGGGTGTATCTAGAGGATCTATTGATCAGCTCAAATCCTTGGTTCATCTTATCTCGGATGGCCAAATTGAAGCTCCTGACTACCGTATCTACCCCGTGAATCAGGCATCTCAAGTGTTGAGACAATTGAGTATGTCCGAAGTTGAAGGCCGTGCCATTCTGGAGGTTTGGGACCCGGACAAGCCTGCTGAGGAAAAGAGTCAAAATCCACAGTAATCCACTACCGTATACGCGTTATTTTTATAAGGTGCCATAACACCCGTTTAACATTTATTAACTGGCTTGATGTGAGGTTTGGAGTATAAATTTGAAGTTTTTGATATTGTTTTAGGTTACAGCTGCTTTTTGAAAGGTTTAAGGTGGGCTTTGTTATTATCTTTTACTGAATTTAGTACTTTGTACATAAAATTACATTGTGCTAGCTTTAATAGCAAAAAAGAAAAGTTACAGTAAACGATTGAAATTTCTAAAAAAAATTGAAAAACCTCTTATCAGGCCAATAATTTTTGAATGTTTAGGTCTTTTTGTACGTGTCCGACTGGTCATTAATCAATATTAATTTGTCATCCGAGTCTTATTTAGTAACTTCTTCATTCAATGTAGATACTTGTCTTTTATTTTGTGAATAAATGTGTTGTAGATGAAGATGTTCGGTTTTGATTTGATAAAGTTGGTAGCTAAAACAATATTTTTGAGTTAAACATGGCAAAATGTGAATTTTGTAGGTATACAAGGGTTGTTTTTAAGATTTTGTACCAAAAATGAGGTTTTAAAGTAGTTTTGGTGTATGAAAAACGTGTTTTTTGTGCTATCTCAAGTTAAAAAAAAGTTTTGTGGTCTTACTGAAGGTATAACAATATAAATTAAGTTTTAACATCAATATCATCATTTTCATCAATCTCAACATACCTTAAATGACGTCAAATAGCGTGGAGAAGCCGGAAATGCATTTCGAAATGAGCTTCAAAGTCATATCAAAATCGAATCGTCTTCGTCATGGCGTTCTGAAGCTGCCGCACGGTCTAGTCTCAACGCCCGTCTTTATGCCTGTAGGAACTCAAGGTACAATGAAAGGAGTTTTGCCAGAACAAATGAAGGATTTGGGTTGTGAAATCTACTTGAACAATACTTACCATCTTGGCCATAGACCTGGCTACAAATTGTTGAAAGAAGCCGGTGGAGTTCACAAGTTTCAGAATTGGAATGGGAATCTGTTGACGGATTCGGGAGGGTTTCAGGTATGGAAAGTTGGGTCTTTTTTGGGGAAAAAGTCATTTTGTATCTAATAATTGGTATTTTATGGCCAAATTTTTGTAAAAAAAATATTTTGCGATGATAAATTTATGAATCCATTAAAAAATATTACAAACTAACAGCTTAACTTGACAGGTAATCTTACCCTACTTCCAGATGGTATCCTTGAGCAAGCTGATGGAAGTGACGGAGCATGGAGTACGGTTTGAAAGTCCTCATACTAAGGAAATGATGGATCTGACTCCAGAACATTGTATTGAAATTCAAGAGGCTATAGGAGCAGATATTATCATGCAGCTGGATCATGTAATACCATCCCTATCTACTGGGCCTATTGTTAGGGAAGCCATGTTGAGATCAATACGATGGTAAGGCGAACATTACTATGGGTTCAGGGCTTATATAGGCGTAAATGCAGTATTCGAAGCAGCAGCTAGCTTAAGCAGGACAGATTTGTCAATTTTTGAGCATGGGGGGTGGGGGGACAATGCAGACCGTTCAGTACCTAAAATTTTTTAAAGTTTAGATTTTGTTTTAGGTTAGATAGATGTATATCAGCTAAAACTCGTAACGATCAAATACTTTTTCCTATTATTCAAGGTGGTTTGGACTTGGAATTGAGAACTGAATGTACCAAGGAGATGTTGAAACGTGTTCAAGTTGGTATTGCTGTTGGAGGTAAGGTTTTGCTATAATAATATAAAACAACAAAGGTTATTTCAAGGTTTAACATATTTTATTTTAGCTATTTTAAGGCCTAGCAGACCTTATTTTAGCTATTTAAAGGTCTAAAAGATCTTATTTTACCTATTTCAATATCTAACAGACCTTATTTTAGCCTAAAATCGGTTTTTTAGGCTTAAGCGGTGGAGAATCAAAGGAAAGTTTTTGGCGCACAGTGGCGACGTGCTGTGAATTGATTCCCGATGGCATTCCACGTTATGTTATGGGTGTAGGATGGCCTGTAGACTTGGTAATTGCATCACTGCTGGGTGCGGACATGTTTGACTGTGTTTATCCTACTAGAACTGCACGGTATGTTTACTTTTATGGTTCATGTAGGCCCATATGTGGATGTTTCAAAGGTTTGAGTTTCGAAATTTTGTTCTTTTTTAGTTTTGGCACAGCAATAACCCGGAAGCACGGCGAATTAAGCCTAACCCAAAGCCAATACAACAATGACTACGATGCAATAGACAAAACTTGCTCATGCACGACATGTAAACGCTTTTCAAGGAGCTACATTCACAATATCGTGGCTCAAGAATCGGTGTTTTGTCATTTAATATCTATTCACAATATTCACCATCATCTGGACTTAATGAGACGATTGCGGAAGGCGTGTGACGATGATAAAGTCCAGGAGTTTTTGGATGAATTCATCGTGGAGCAGTTTAAATCGGCTTCAGAAGCTCCCAATTGGGTCAAGGAGGCTTGTGAATACGCTGGGTTTCCTATTGTTTAAGGTGGGGGGGGTTGATCTTGTTCTAGCATTGTTGTCTTCGTTATCACTTCAGAGCTTGACTTCAATCTATACTGTCATTGTTACAGTCTTTTATATCTGGTTTTTATTGAAAATTGTGGTATTGTGATGAAAAAGTAATTATTATCTCAGATTATGGGCAAGCTCCTCTTCTTGGCTAGGGCTCTGGTTATAATCTCCATATCCCACTTTTTGTTATGGCACTTTTGGTTTCTTATGTCATGGTTTTACAGTATACTGATCTGTGTTACAATAATGTCCCAAAACACTTATTTTGTTGAGTTTGTTACCTCTATTTCACTTCACCTTGTTGTATCTTGATCTCTGTAGTTTGGAAATAAAGCACGGTTGTTACAAAGCAATGTTATTGATAGTTACAATGTTGGTTTATGATCCGAATTTATTTTTATTAATGCATTTGGGGGTACTATAAAAATAGCTTTTGGCTTTTCTCTTTCTGCCATGCTAAAGACACTCAGCTTCCTGTAAAGACCATTGCAAATCACGCGATTTCTACAGGTTTTGATCTTTTGTGTGCGACCTTTAGTTTCACGCGTGTTTTGTGATAAATTTGTTTCCGAAATGCACTTTTCAGACAAAAATTATTCAATTCGGGTTGTTCCCCCACGTGGCAAACCCCCCGGAACACATGGCATTGGCCCACGTTTTGAAGGAAAGTCACGTAGCGATGGAATGTTAAATGCTATTTTAAATGGCAATATGATTGGATTGCTAAAGGGAATATAATAGGGAGATATCGTTTGTTGAATATCCCTTGTTATAGGCAGCAAAGGGATTGAAACAGGTTAACACCAACATTAAAATTCACTCTCAAAAAAAAATTGAACAGGGGGACCCTGTTGATTTAGTTTTTTTTTTAAATTTTTGTCAAGGAAAGCTGAGAAGACTTTGAGAAGTGATCTGTATCAATATGATGTTAAAAATATTTTTGTGGCTCGGTTTACCCATTTTTCTGGCCGAAAACCAAAAAATCTGTTGATTTTCCCCTAATTTTTCGATAAAAACCACTCAAAAACAATGCTTCAACCCCTTTACCACACCCAAAAATCAACCTCAAGCTTTGCATTGTAATCTTTGACATTTCCTAGTTCATGATCTCCGCCAATTTTTACGGAAAACGGCCGCCAAATCGGTGTTACATCAGCTTGCATCATTTCGATTTCAACGAAATGCCCGCAGGGTTCGGGGATTCCTTTATCGAAGTCGTGTCCATCACGTAACCGACAGTTCTAATCAGTTTTTTTGGTTTAATCACTTTTTTATTTTAATCAGTTTTTTTGGTTTATTTAGTTGGACCTTTTGTTACAGTTTTTGGCTGCGAACTGTCTCGGGGTTACCTTTTACAACAATTCTTGTCTCGGTTCAAAACTCTTACTACAACATTTTTACAGTTAAAGAAAAGTATCAAGTTTTGCAAAAAAATTGTTTCAAGATAAAAATCTTAATGATTCGTCTGGTTTTTGGCCGAAAAACAGGAAACTTCTTTCGAAACTGTAAACAAAGTTTCATCATTTGAAAAGAAGATGGAAAGATCAACTTCAGTTCGAAAACAGCCCTATTTGATCAAACTTGATCATTAAATGCAAATTTTGAAGTGGATGCTTCGTTCCTCCCGGAGGATAAATACCTTCTTGATGTTGTCCATGATGGACCTTTCATAATTTTCATTTTTTAAACATTGAGCTATCTTAAGTATCAATGAGAGTTCAAAAAACCCAAAATATAATCATTCCGTTTATCTGTAATCAAAAAAACGAGATAAGAAGACCTGTTGACAATCACTCGTAAGTGATATAATAGTGTTAATGAGCTGACTTCCATTGTCGTGGAAGGTGGTATAACAACATAAAACTTGAATACAAATGTTTTGAAAGATTTCACTTTTCAAAATTTTGAAAAAATGCCAAAACTTTCTTTCCATTCGCATAAAAATCATAAAAAAACTTGAAAAAACCTTTAAATTTTGTATGAAATTTCAAAATTTACTCAAAACTTGATTAAAATGGTACAAAACCACTTAAGTTAGCTTTAGAAACAGTAAAAAGGGTGGGTAATTAATGAGAATATTATTGTAATTGACCACTAATTAGAACTATCAAATATAAAAAGGTATTACAAGACCAAGATCACATCAACCAAACTATCCTACCTACAATAACATGTAAGACCATATCAAAGACAAATCAAAAATCACATCCAAAACTTTAACACTATCTCACTACGCCTAACACAGTCCGAACGATAGGTTAAGGGCATTTAGGTGAAGGTGAAACCGCTGGTTCTGTACGTGTGGTACACTTTTTCGATGGCGTTGGCGTAGGCGGCGGTACGCAGATCCAGGCCGAGATCGTATTTGCGGGCGGTGCGAATGATGGCTTGTCCCGAGCGTTGCATGGTGTATTCCAAGCCAGAGTGGACAATGTCCTTCTCCGAGGCGCCAGCAATACGCGCTTGGAATGGTGATGATGGTTCGACTGGGACCTTTTTGCCGAGGGCGCGTTCCAGGGATTCTTCGACCGAGCCTTCAACGGAAAATTGTTATAACTCAATCACAATAAACTATAACAACATAAAATAAGCTACAAAAACCAAAAACTAGTATCCTCAACCTTCTTTTTGACTAAAAATCTTAAAAAAGTACCAAAATAAGCCTTAAAAAGACCAAAAACTTAAACAAAGCAAGCCTAAACAGCCCAAACTTCACAAGATCCTTACCCAAAAGCAAGTAGTTCGAGTCTCTTTCGTACTTGAAAGTCAAACGACCGAACGAAACGTGGTTCAAGTTCTTCAACCATTCAAAGAAGGACACGGTGACACCGCCAGAGTTGACGAACATGTCAGGAACGATCAAGCAATCGCCTCTGGCCAACAAGATCTTGTCGGCGGCTGGGGTGACTGGTCCGTTAGCGGCTTCGGCAATGATCTTGGCTTGTATCTTGTGAGCATTGCCTTTGTGGATGGCCTTTTCGCAGGCAGCTGGCACCAAGATGTCGCACTTTTCGAACATCAACTCTTCGAACTTGTCAAAGTTCTTGGCTCCGGGGAAGTCCTTGATGGTGCCCTTGGCCAGCATGTAGTCTTCGAGTTCTTTTGGGTGAATGCCGTCTGGGTTATAGATGCCGCAGTTCCATTCTTGGACACCGACGCACTTGGCTCCGTCACGGTGGAGGTAACGCATGGTGTGGAGACCGACATTACCTGGAAAAAGGACAGTAAAATAAAGAAATGAAACTTATTATATCACCCCAAAACTCTAATCAACCATAATAACCTACCGAATCCTTGGATGATAAAGGTTTTTCCAGCCAATCCAGTGGTCAAACCGAGCTTGCCCATGTACTCTGGGTCAGATGTGAACACTCCCAATCCCTTCCAGACTCCTCGTCCTGTAGCCGACACTCTTCCGTGGATTCCACCAGCTACGATTGGTTTTCCGGTGATACAAGCACTGGCGTCCTTGTCCATGTGACCGGTAGTTTGAGCATAAGTGTCAGCGATCCAGGCCATTTCACGTTCGCCAGTGCCCATGTCTGGGGCTGGTACGTCAACACCGGGGCCCAAGAATCCCTTTTTGGAGAATTCGATGGCGATTCTTCTGGTGATCTTCTCGATTTCGTAGTCTGTGTACTTTCTTGGGTCGATCTTGACACCTCCCTTGGCTCCACCGAATGGTACGTCCACGACGGCACACTTGTAGGTCATCAGGGCGGACAATGCCTTGACTTCATCTTCGCATACATCCAACGAGAAACGGATACCTCCCTTGGTTGGGGTACGATGTTCCGAGTGCTGAGCTCTCCAGGCTTCGATGATTTCGTACTCTCCGTTCTCACGGCGGATTGGGAAGGTGATGTAGAGGACCTGAAAATGAAAAATATGAACTTTCATACCAAAAAATAATTCTTTTCTATAAAATTTGATTAAAAAGGTATAAAACTACTCTATATTAACATGAAAATAGAAATCTTTTACTAAACAATCCCCCTAAACCACCAAGAATCTCATTTTCTTCCAAACTTTACCAATTCCAACCCTTATTTAACCCAAAACTCACCTTGTTGACAGGCTTGATGGCTCCCAGGATACCACGAACATAGTTCTTCTTGTCAGTTTCGTCACGACGCGACTTCAACTCCTCCACCAGTTTGGCTTCGATGACTTGAGCGCCCTTGTCAAAGTAGTGGTCGACCATCTTGAAGAAGGAGGGGTTCAGTTGTTCGTCCATGGGCTTGGCCGCGTCCGACACCTGGTCGTGTGGGTCCAAGGTGGCGGCCGAGAAGTTGCGCACGCTCACCAACGCGCCTCGTCTCGCCAAAACCGGAAGCATCGTTCAGCCTAGAAGAAGATATTGAGTGATTTTAATAATGTTTAGGCATGTTTTATGAAAAATGAGAAAATAACACGATAAAACATCTTTTTCTTGCAGTTAGAGCAGTAGGTGTTGAATAACTATGTAAAAAAGTTGCTTTTAAGACAAGAAAAGATCAGCTTCTTATTCATAAGATCAATATACCAAAGTCTACAGTTTATAACAATAGTTATGCCCAATAATAGATCAAAAACCTTGGTATATTTTCGTTATAAAACCACAAAACTATTTATAAACAACTTTCATAAAGCTTATTATAAACAAATTTCTCAATGCTATAATGAAGATGATGCTATTTTTATACCTACAATAAAGAGCAATAATCTGCTATTGGCCAGTAAACTAGAAAAAAATTAACATAACAAAAGAACCCATTTCAAAAATAAAAAAAAATTTAAGTAACATCTTGACTTGAACCCCTCAAGATAATGAAGAGAATGAAATTTTGCCTTAAGGCTTAAATACCCAAAGTATCACCTATAAAAGGCTTAAATACCTAAAGTCTAACCTATAAAACCTATGACAAAATGAAGTTTCACAAAGTCAATCCCTATCCCGAAACGATGACTATCCTTAACAAATTAGAACACCCTATGACAAAGCCTCTAATATACCCATCCGACCTTATGATGAAGGAAATGATGTGTTATCACAATAAATTAAAAGATGGGAACCCAAGACTAGAAGAAACCTTTCGGGCGGTTCGACGCGAAAAAAATCAAATCACGGGGGGGGGCCTAACCACCCCCTCCCCTCTTGCCGAACGTCGCCCTTCATTTCTCTTCCCTTGGGGACAAAAAGCACGTGGAGTGGGGTGAGAGGTTATTCAATGTCCTTTCTTTCTTTGCAACACTCTCCCCCAACGTGAAGCCTATTCTTGCGTGTTAACAGTTTGAGACACGTATCTCCAGTCCTTGGGGGGAGACTGAAAACAAACGTGGTCTGCAATTTCGTTTGCTTGAACAGTTTGGACATCATAGGATGTCTAGGGGCATATTTACGTAGACGACATGAGGACAATTTGTCACGTCGAACTCATAAGACTTACGACAACAATATCTTGCCACAAATTAAACAAAGAGGTACTATACTTTAGCAAAAACTAAAATACAGTGAAAACTCTTTCGTGTTACCCTCGATAGTGTGAAACCTTCCTCATAATGCCAGCTTTTTCGACCGCCCTTCGTAATAGAACCTCTATCAAAAAGTACCTGGGTACTGCGACACCCTGGTTATAAAGAAAAGTTTAAATCAGTCCCTCTAGTGTCATGCTAAAAAGGTTTGACAGTAAGTTATATTACACTAGGTCAAGCTGATAAAATTCCTTGAAAGAAGATCAAAAGAAGGAAGAGATACCTTTTATTACTATGGTACCAAAACAATTTAAAAGTCGATTCAGAAAACTATTTTAATGCCTCATTAAAGCAATATCTCAAGTATAAACGTCCAGTTTTACGTCCCAGACGCGTAAAATGAAGAGATTATCCTCTAAATCAATGTAATGATAGTTTAAGCTGTAAACTTTTAAGGTTTTCAACGTTCGACAACACGACAATACCATCCATAATAAAGGTGCCAATATGGCAATACTACTCATGATATAAGCGCATATAAATGTCATTTTAAACACATCTTTGGCTTATTAAAACCTTAACTTCAAGGCTTTTTGCAATCTGTCAAAGAATTGTAAAAATACCTTTTTAACCTTACAATTACCACGAAAATCGACGTCAAAACGTCTAATCACCTTCAGCAAAATCTCTACAGAAAAATCTCCTACAAACCTTCACAAAATTCTAACTTAATCACTCTCCAATACTTAACACCACCAAATTACAATTAACAATCACTTCCAATTTGGTCTAATTATGTAAGCCTCGTGTAAGATCAAAAACCAAATAAAGAAACAAATAAAAACTCGACTTCGACTCCACCCTCTATCAGTAACGTCATGGAATCAGGAACCGTCGCTTTCGCTTAATAGTTCATGATAAATCGACCTTGGAAGCTTGTTATAGACAATATTGTGTTGTTTCTAAGCTATAGCACAAAATTTCATTTCCTAAACTACTCGGCTTATTTTTTACCTAAACTTACAATCTGAGAAACAGATTTGACGACAAAAAGCAGTCAATTTATCAAACTTTTTTACCTAAACTTTTGGAAAAACAAAATAATTTTCAAACAAAGTTCGCCCAAAAGGTCAATGTAAACGTATTTCAACATGAAATTTGGTAAACCTGTCAAAGATTGTCACAAAATGACTTTTTGTCATACTTTATCAAAATTTTAAAATTGTTACCTAAAAATCAAAAACTTGTTCTAAAGCTCAAAAACTCTGTTAAAATAAAACCAACAAAGCAGCATACACAAAAACAATAGTACAAGACCAAAATTATTACCTAAAGAGTAAAAAAAGAAACATACCACAAAGATTGACACAATTACAGCGAAATTCAAAAATTTGCCGGTTTCAAAACTCGACCGCTCAGCCTATTGCAAATGAAACTATTTAAAAAGTGCAGAAAAGCATAACAAGTTCATTTGCATAAACTTTTACGAAGCAAATAACCTTTGAAAAGTGGGAAAAAATCCCTAAAAGCCACAAAAAACTAGCCTAAAATTACTAAATCAACGTCTAAAACAACAAAAACTGCTCCCAAAAGTATAATACTAAAGAAAATACTCATTGTGGCAAAATTTAATCCATTCTCAACCCAGACCCTATGTAAATACTACTCCAAAGCGCAAGAGAATAAAATGCTAACAAAAAATGTTTCTAACAAAGTAACACAAGTGCGCTCAAAGAAAGCGCAGGCTGCAAAGTTGTTTTATACCACGGCTTGTTTATTTATTTTATTTTTTATTTTTTTACAGTTTTGTCGCATATTGTGGTTGGAAAGATGTCGAAGGCACGTAAGAGAAAGCGTGAAAAGTGGTTGGAAGAAATTGATGCCGAAAGGAAGGCAATAAAGAGCAAGTTGAATGGTCGATATGGCCGAAAAGTAAGTTATCAGCTTTTAGGTTTGAAAAGTTACTTTAAAGATAATATTTTAGTATATAAAAGAGTTTGTCGGGCTTTATGATATTGCAACATGTTTATAGGTGATATAGAAGCTTATTTTATTTTGTTTAGATGAAATTTTTAAATCATTATCTTGTTTTAGCCAACAGAATCACAAACAGAAGCAGTGCTTGAACGATCAACGGGAAAGTTCAAGAATCCAGGGAGTGTTCAGATGCAAAGAAGTTTACAAAGTCATTTGAATAAGCTGATTGTGGTAGGTTTGTGTTTTTACGCTTGTTGTTTGATTTTTAGAGATTTGGTCATTAATTCTGGATATTGCACTGGACATCTAGGTATATAGAGTTATAACTCATTGTTGCATGGTCTCACGTTGCTCAAATTTTGTATAGGGCTTAGTCGTTAACTTTATTGTTTTTATTCTTTGTATTTTTTAGGTAGAAGAACCAGAATATTCCCAGCAAGCTAAGTGGTTATGTTGTTTTTGTCATGAACAAAGTTGTTTCGAAGAGCTTGGCGATTTGTTTGGTCCGTTTTTTGTTAAAGGCCTAAAGCCGCCGGCATATCTTCATAAGCCAAATAGGGAACCTAGAGACGACTTTGATTATTTACCAGTTGGAGAGTCTTGGAATTATGACATGTGGATGCATGGTATGTGTGCTGTTTGGACCGAAGATCTCATTTACTTTGGAGGGAAGCTGTTGAACTTGGAAAAGTGCTTGGAGAAGTTTTGGAAGGAGGTAAAGGTTTTTTTAAAGGTTTTGTTCAGTTTGCAACGGCAAAGCTGAGCTAGGTTGTATGATTTATTAACAATAAGACTGAGACATCTTTATTGTCTATGTTAACATCAAAAGTGCTCACAACTTTAGTGTTTTGTATCGAAATCATTTTAATCTTATAAAAATTAAAACCATCTTTATAGAAGTGTAAGATTTGTTTAAAAATTGGAGCTTCAGTCAAAGAATCCAGGTCCGGAGGCTATGTACATTATCCATGTGCCCTAAAAATGAGTAAGTGCCATTCTCATTATTATCTTGATGTTTAGATTATGAATTCGACAAAGTTATGATGAAATGCACAGGACCAGAGTCTAGGCCACCATCTACGACAAGAAAACCGCGGAAAGGAAAGCGATCTCATTAATAAAATACGTGTAATACCTACATGCGAGCGTGTAGATGTATATAAATGTCATTGTTAAAATAAACCCTTATTTTGGTGTTTTTTGGAGTTCATATTGGGCTTTTTAAGGTTAAAGTGGGTTCAGTGTAAGGTCCGGGAGGTTTTTTATTTTAATTTTTATTACAGTTTACTTTGAGTATTACTGTAACACGTTATTATATTACATTTGGCAAAGTCTAAGTATGTTACACTTGAATTAACTTGAATCTTTGATACTTTGATAAGCTGTTATATAGTAATTCCTTAAAAATACCTTGTGGAATATTAAGAACAACAAAAAATTACTATTTAAAGTTTTATACAGAAAACTACAGGAAATTTATGTATAATATGCATTGCTGCACCCACGATAAAAAAGCACAACCAACATTGCAATTGACACATCTTTGTTGTAGTGATCGTTGAAACCGCAGGTTTACAATAAATTACAACGAGAATATACTTTTGTGTGTAGACTTTGGGAAAGGATACTGTAATGAGCTTTTGACAGTATATTGTAACATAATTTTTTTCAGTACGGGTACTGCAGTACGGACTGTAAAAGTACAATCTAGTACTGTAAAGCCCATGTTGTAGTATACAGTTCTAAAGCTCACAAAGACCCCTTCGTCAAAGCCCACAAGGATAACTTAAAGTATACAATAACATACTGGAATAAATATTAGGTAACGCCGTTTTTTTGCTTTGGAAACACCGGAAGATAACATGTGCAATGAGAGTACTGTAGGTTCGGATAGAAACTAGAATACAATTATTGTGAGACAAAAGAGTAAAGGTGAATCTGAACCGCCGAAGAAATGAGATCAAAAGTTGTAATAAGTTAGTCGCCGCCAAGTTTTCTGTGTTCTTGTCTTCTGAAAGCATGGTTAAGATAAAAAATGTCATGGTTAAGGCTAAAATGTCATTTCAGAGCTATTTTTAGGCTCTTTGCCCAAGAATTTTAACTTCAAAAAAGTCTTGTCGTTTTATAACCTTTGAAGCAACGTAAAATGGCGACAATACTTTTTCAACGTATAATTTTTACAAAAACCTTGTTTCACAGTACAGTAACTACCATCTCCACCTACTTTTAGTAGTAAGTTGGGGGTTGGTTTTGTTGACGAGCCGCCTGAACCAAGCGCATCAATTCGATGGCCTGCTCCTCACTCAACGTTTGTTGTTCTTGCTCGCTTTCAGGTTGGATGAGTTCGTTGGGGATGTATGGAAGCTGAGGAATGTCACCGATGGCATTCTCCATCTCCAAGGCTGGTTGAAGAGGTTTCAACTGGAAGTTGATGATCTGGGCTTGGCCATGTTGCTTGTTGGTAACGTTAACAGCGCGCATTTCTGGTTGATAACCCTCGGCTTCGACCGCGATTTGGTATTCGCCATTGATGATGGGACGGAAATAGTCACCGGCCAGGGCTGAAAAAGAAGATATTGATAATTAGGCGCTTTATCTGTTTTGATTTAGCTATCAAAAATGTTATGATTACCCAAAATTCTTTGAAAACCGCGAAAAATCGTCGAAAAAGCTTAAAAATTTGTAATTTTAGGTAACAAAATCAAAACTTTTGTTTTTTTAATTTCTTTTCATAGTAGTAAATTGATTTTAAAATATAAAAAATTGTGTTTGAAGTAATTCAATAGACGATAGTGACCAAAGAATTGACTTACAAGAGGTAACGGGGTGCTTGATTGGGGTCTCATCCTTGGATGAGGTCAAGTTGCGGATCCATACAACAGCGTTGGGGATGGGTTTGCCAGTTACTTGGGCAACAATCAGTCCTTTTACACCCATGTGGCTCTAAAATTTTATTTTTTAATTTCAAAAAGGGTTTATTACGAAAAATTTGGTTTAAAATGACGTTTTTTGGCAGAAAAGTAAGGTAAAAAGATCATTTTTGCTTAAAAAGTTATGTGAAAACGTGATATTAGCATTCTAAACGATGTATTTTTAAATTTAAAAGCAATTTTAAAAGCATTTTATAAACTAAAAGATCTAAACTCACCATCCACATGAACTCCAGAAGAGCCTTCTTGTTGTCGGTCCAGAAGTTGGGCAGTTCTTCAGCCGGAGGCATTTTCTGGCAAGATAACTCCAAAGTGATTTCAAAAGCATTCGTGGCCAAGTAGTTAAAGTCCTGCATTCCACCACTGACGGAGTACCATTTGGCACCATTTGTGATACCACCATGACGAGCAAAGTTGTCCGATGGGGTACCATCACATGGGGCATGGTCGTTCTTAGCCATGTGGGCGTGGTTGTTGGCGTAGGTCTGGGCCAGGTGCTTGAAGGTGGTGTCATCCGGAGACTTGGAGTATTCGCTCATGCCTTCGACGATGGAGGCGTCGAAGGGGTAGTTGGCTACGAGGTCACCTTCGTGGAGGTTGGCTGAGAGGACGAAGGGCAGGGAGAGGGTCCATTGACCTACTGCCTTGACTTCTGGTTCGTACTGAAAATGATACGCAAACGTATTTTACAAGATAAAAAATGTTTTACAAAAGCAAATGTACTGCCAATTTTGATAAACTCACGTTCTGTTGTTCGTCATTGAAGATGTCAAGGAGATGATCGTACCGGCCAGCCTTTTGTTCATCCAAGACAAAGAAAAGCTTGTCCAAATCAGGGAAGCCACGGTTCAAGTCGCGGCCATTGGCGTTGGCACGGCCTACAAGCCATCCACGGTCTTCTGGCTTCTGAAACATTACGTTTTTAGGCTTTTTAAATTTATTAGGCTAAATGGGATCAAACTTTTATAGTGTGCAGTATCTAAACTTTAATTTCTAGCCTTAGCTTGGTATATTATCATAGTTTTTCTTACTTTAAAGCTATGAAAATAGATAAAACTAGACATAAGTTACCTAAAAATGACTTTTTTCTGAATGTTTTAAATTTTAGAGTTAAAAGTAAACAAAAAAGATTGCGGAACCTATCCCAATGACATGAACATTGTTGTTTTTTTGTTAAATTTAATTCTTCAAGGAATTTAATTTCCGTTTCTAGAGTGCTGAGTGCGTCAATGGTCTTGATTGCCTTAGGAAGAAACTTTCAAAAAGGGCATAAACTATCAAAAACACTTTTGAAACTAACTTTAGTGGATAAATTTTGCAAGAAATTTAAAAATAGCTTTTATGATAACTAATGAAAACATTTTTGAAACAAAGGCAGGGCAAAGGCAGGGCAAAGGCAGGGCAAAGGCAGGGCAAAGGCAGGGCAAAGGCAGGGCAAAGGCAGGGCAAAGGCAGGGCAAGTCGTTATACAACAATTCTACTATATAACATATAATATACTAAAAGATTTTACATTAAAAGTTAAATATCACCATGTTTTTAAAAGTACACGCCATGTTCCACCGTATTTTTCAAAATATTTTGCAAAACGTGTGAAAAGTGCTGGATTAGCTTACCGTATGCAAGGCCAACTCGAATCCGTCCGGATTCATAGTAGGCAAGATATGGATGTTGGTGGTGTTAATCAGTTTGACAATGTCTTTGTTTCCATTGTGAAACTCTTCGCACAAAAAGTCGGCCAAACGGATCAACAGTTCGCGGCCGACCGCTTCGTTGCCGTGCATATTGCCAACGTATTTCACTTCGGGCTTGCCTGGAAATAAAGTTTTGAAAAGTGGCATTTTAAAGGGATAGTAATTCATTTTTTGAGCTCCAGTTTTATCAAAAAATTTCAAATTTTTAAACATTTGTGACACTTTTATGACTATTTACAGCTTATTTGTTTCCCGACTAAATTGCCCAACTATTTTGACAAATATAAGCTTCTTAACACAAAATAAACCTCCGTCTAGGTATGACATCATCCCCTCAAAAACCGAATCAAACCTCTCCAAAACCTAAAACTTTTCCTTACCGGCTTCATGAACACCAGGAGTGGTCGAAAACTCGATCACAACCAAATCCCGACCCTCAACCGACTGTCCAATACTGTACAAACGTGAGATGTTGCTGCACTTCTTGGAGACCTGCAACAATTTGGCTTCCAATGCATCTTGATCATGGTAGCGACGCCATTCGGCATTGTCTTGAATCGATCGGGCACCAAAGCCGAACAGGCCGGCTTGGGCGGTGGCGATCAATGCGACGCCGACGACGAAGATTAACCGGCCAGACAACATGCTGCCGGAGAACGGGCCGTCCAAAGTGGCGTGTTTGGCCCTGAAAACTCGACGCTTGAGGCAAAAAACCGAGCCGGAGGGGGAAGCACGGCACGAGGGCAGGGGTGGGGGAGAGCAAGGCATGAAAGAACGGGTAGGGGAAAAGCAGGGCATGAAAGACAAAGTATGGCAGAGCAGTGCACGAAGAAAGAGAACTAGAAGAGTAGGGCATGATAAAAGGGGTACGAGAGAGCAAGGCAAAAAATAAAAAAAGATAGGAGCGCGAGATAATGAAGAAGAGAGTACGAGGCTTGGTGGCGTACTATCCTTATATGGAAATAGAAATAGGCGAGGTTGTGACTTGTGCAGCCGTTTGAGGGCGAAGAAAGAGGCCAAACGACGTAAGGAAAATGAAAAAATGTAAAGAAATGTGGAGAGAGCGCAAGATTGAGATAATACTAAATAAGATAAAAGAACGAGTACGCAGTGTAAGTTATACAACAAAGAATGTCGAAAGAGTAGAAAAAGGGCTGAAAAAAAAGAAAAAAAAGTCAGCAAAGATAGTAGAGAAGGCCATGAACAATAGACAAACAGAATAAAAAAGATGGCAAAAACTGAAGAAGCTTGTTTCTGAGAAGATATAGATTAAGCGTACTATATAGGACGTAGACAAAGCTAAAGAAACTTTAAGATACAACGTCGTATGTTTTCATACAACGAGTAGAAATAGGCAAATAGGGCAAAAAATAGAGAGAGTAAAATAAAAGTAGAGCAAGCAGTAGAGCTTATCGTCGGAAAAAGAGGCTACGAAGCCTTATAGACAATTATAGGCTACAGGGCTTGACAGACAACTCCGGAATAGACAGCTTCATAGACATGTCTTATTTTCTCTAACTTTTGGAATTTTATATTTTTTTTGGTTTTTCTTGATATTGAGCTGATACATCTTATTTTCAATACAGAATTTATCGTATTTTACTTTAATATGTTGTAGCTTACTATAATTCTTTTTTTCTATGTAAACCGTCTATCGATCTTTTTATTAACATTTTTACACCGTGTTCCACGATGTTCTGTAACGTATTTTACACTCTTTCTCTCTCGAATACTACGTGAGTTTTTCTACCCTACAACACTTTTTTTTCTCTTTCTCTACCTTGCCTTTCCTCCATATCTTTCTGTCTTATCTCTTGCTCTCTCACTCCTCACAAAACAATACTGTCTTCTCTTATGCGTGTTACAACTCTCTTAACCTCAATCTCTATTGTACGTCGTACTCTTTCAAGTGCTCGGCGTTCACGTACTTTCATTTTTTCATCGTTCTCCCAGCACGTGGGTGTTTGTTCCCTTTACGTAGAAAGCGAAATAATTGGGGCTGAAAAGTGAATGAAGCACTTGATAAATACAACATTTTTAATTTCACACGGTCTTTCACTCCGCTTTTGGCATAGTATTTTGACGTAAGAATGTGTGCACCTACTATGTGGTCTATGTTAGGGTATTTTAGTTGTATGTTACAAAATTTTTTGCATAGAATGACATACAAATTTTTGTACAAAATTTTTCAACGCATAATTTGGAAACGTATTTTACAAAATTTAAAAAATATATGAATTACTTAAAATTTTTAAAATTCAAAAAAAAATCTTTTATACTAAACTCACGTTCTCCTATGTTAACATAGTTAAGTATGCACACACTTTTTTAGAATGTTTGTGCACATGAAAATAGTATGTCAGTTGTTCATGTGACAATTCCATGTTAAACGTCCGTACGTGAACGCTGGCCGATCTATGAGTTAAAAAATATTAGTCAAAAGTCAATTAAGCCATACATGAATAAGCAATGATTACATTTTGCAACCTAACACAGAAAACAGTCTTATAATAACTATGTTAAACTATGCATTATGATGATATTGAAGTTGAATTTGAAAGAAAAGGTTCGCTGTACATCAAATTTGATATTATAGCTACCTTCTTTAATTTTGAAAAAAGCTTTAAAAAGTCTAAAAAAATTACAAAATTTTTACTCTTCGCCTTTCCCACCCTCTCCCTCCTCTTCCACAGACCTGCTTCAGATGTACTCTTCCATCCCAACGTACTCTTAATACTTGCCCTTCTGTATATTATAGAATACCCATCGTTCCTCAAAGAAATTGGTTTACAAGAAAAAATCGCTTAAATTTTGATTATTTTTTAATTACTTTACGAGAATACTAAATTTTACCGCCACAATAATTGTAAAAACATTAATCACATTTGCGTATGTCATATGAAAAAAAAGGGACTTTATGACAATGACAAGATGTAAAAAAGTAAATTAAACAAGACATGAAATATTGAAATTAAAACAAAAATGTTACAAAAAAGAGAAGGCAAGGAAGGATAGAAGAAGATAATAAAAATATCTAAAGTGGTTAATCTAGAATAAGTTAATCTAAGGTAAAGTAGTCAAAGGTAGGATAATCTATGTTTGGTAAGAAAGAAATGTTAAAACAAAAAAAATTTAAATATAAATTTATTTTATGAAAATAAAGAGTAAAAAGTATCCACGACACGAATATTCTTATCAGTTTGGTTTCAAAAGCGCAAAATTCTCATTTTTATTGTTTTAGCACATTTAATGATACATAAATGATTTTGACGTCAAACAACCTTTTGAAACTGCGCCGTCAAAGAACTCTAACTTACTATTAGCATGTAACAGAGCCTACAAGGCTCAGCCACGGATCACGCAAGAGAAAGAAAGTTTAAAAAAGCTGACTCGACCTGTTTACAAGCTTTTACAAGCCTAATATAAATACAAGCTATTCGCCTTACAAATTTGAAATTGCGTTTTCTTGACTGCTTTGACAAAGGCTAGCCAGAAAACCATACAAGCCATATTTATTTAATAATTACCACTATTAATTACAATCTTTTCTCAATTACTGTGCTATTTTTTAAAGATAACTAAAAAACTTGGATGATTTAAAGGCATTTCAAAAATCGACCTGTTTTTATACATTATGATATATTTTTTCTAATAGCTTTTAAAATTTACTCAATTTGAACTTTCCTATACGGCTAACATCAGTCATAGAATCAGATAAATGTTGCGCCGGCGGCTGAATAATTGTATTCTGTCGTCAGCGTTATACTTTTATTTGACATAGTTTTTGAAAAATTATTTTATATTTTATTTTGTAATAAGGAGCTAATAAATATTGTAAATATTAATCTAAATTATTTCTTTATAAGCTAATAAATTTTTTTTGATATGTTACTTCGTGGCAGAGCTTTATTCGGTAAGGCATTTTGTAATTTTACACAAATTTCACAGTAAACTCATGTTATGAAAGAAGTTCGTTATATGTGAAAGAGTTCTACTGTAATTTTCACATGACTTTTACTGTATTTTCTAAAAACGTTTTACTGTAATTCTTTATTCTATGTATTTAACAATGACATCTTTGAAATTATATTTCAGTACTTCAATGTTTTCTATTTACTTCCATAAAAGCTCAAGACAATGTGACGTTCACAACAATTGATGTAACAAATAGTAGTGGTATTAATACACAATTTATAAATAATCTGTATACAACAGTTGACGTTTCTGATGAAGACGTCACCATAGTAGAAAACCATATAGAACGAAGAGTAATATTGATTACGTCAACATATCATAGGCCTCAACGGATTGCTGATTTTCATTCGTAAGTTTACAATTCAAGTTTATATTTTTGCTGCTTTAGGGTTTATCGTATATACTGTATATGGTTTAAAACTGAAGATTTCGTTTCTGTTTTCCTTGTGAAACTCTTGTATGGCATATTTTTTAGAAGTTTTTAAATTAAACTCAGACTTCCTTACTATGACACTCAAGGAACTAGTCCAAACTTATTTTTTACATTGTTTGTTACACAGTAGTCCCACTTTACCTGATTTTTCAAAAAATTTTATTACGACAATTTTTAGATTGATACACAATTTTCGACATATTGATAACATATTCTGGATAGTCGTAGAAGAAGGACCTCAAACTGATCAGTTTATTGAAAGTTTGCTAAAGAGATCTAACGTACCATACGTGTATTTGAACGCTGAGAATGTTGATACTCCATGTAGGTGATTTTAAATTTTGATTTTTTATATTTTAAGTAGTGAGGATTTTGAAAAATTATAGATTAGCTATAATAATATTACTATATATTATGTATTGAGATTAAAGGGTTGCTGACCTATAATTATTTTTAACTATAATAATTTTAGGTCACGGCTGGAGCCAACGAAACGCTGCCTTGGACTACATTCGTAGTAACAAAGAAAGCTTCAAAGACTCTGATGTTGTGTACTTTGCCAACGATGAAAATACTTATGACAAGCGTCTGTTTGACAAGTTCATAAGGAATGTCCAAAAAATTGGCGTTTGGGCGGCTGGTAAGATTAATTAAAATACCGTTTTTTACTTGCTTTTGGAGTTTTTTTAGCTGTTTTTGAACCTTTTAAATAAACGAGACACTACGCCTGTAAAAGGAACAAGCCGGGCTAAAGTTGTCGGCCTGGATTGGTTTATGATTAAGGTTTCAGCCCTTAAATTGGCGTGTGTCTGCCTTTCAGCTACGTGCCTAACTTTCTTATATACAAAATTCTTTAACGTATTTTACAAAACTTTTTTTAGGAGCAGGCTACGTAGCGGCAGAATCTCCGTTGGTACTGAACGATCAAATTATTGGATGGAACACTGCTTGGAGGCCAAAACGTGAATTTGCTTTGAGTTTTTCTCAATTTGCATTTAACATCAAGTATATTACGGAAACAAAGTAAGCTTTATTACCCAAGTTATTATATTTACACAGAAATCATATTATAGTAGTGTAGCAACTAAGTTCACCGCCACGAATAACAAAATAAAATTAATATTTTTTAAATTTATAATTCAATTCAATTTCCAGTGCAAAATTCGACCTCCGATGTGCAGGACTAGCCATGGAAGACTGTTTTCTACGTCAACTCAACATCCAGAAGTCAGATATTCAACCATTTGGCTACGAAGGAGAGTCTAAACCAATTTACGTTTGGCATCGGCGAATTGACAACTTGGGGCTGTTAAACGAATTTGAAACACGGGCTAAATTTATTGATGATTCTGTAGTTGAACCAGTGAAATGTAGAGTTTTGCAACGAAATGTACCATTGAATTCTATGGCACACGCTAAATACATTGTTGTATTGAAGGATTCTGGAGCTACACGGGTTTTGGAGCTTTGAACAATAAATTTTTAATTTTTGTTTTGAAATTATTGGGTATAGCTAACTATTTATGTGGAAATATAATATACTCTTTACTACAATTTTGTGCTTTTATTTTGCCTTGCCTTGCCTTGCCTTGCCTTGTCTTGCCTTCCTTATTTACTTTATTTTACCTTACTCTACCCTACTCTTCTCTACCCTAATTTACTCTAAATTTCTTTACCCTAACCCACCTAGATTTATCATAACAAAAAACACAGTTTCTATAATTGCCATACATGCCCAGAAGCTAAAACACATCAAAACAAGCGTTTTCCTTGAATCGAGGTCTTTGAAACACTAAAAATAGGCTTTTAAAACGTCTTTTTTTTGCGGTGGAACGTTCTGTGCGAGCACGTTTTTCACGTTTTTCTCTTCTTTTTCGAAAAAAAGTAGATTAAAGTTTAAGGAATGAAGTTTACATCGGCTAAAAATATCTGTTTGGCGGGGGTTTTTACAACATTTTTGGTTTGTAATTAGGCCAATATTTGTTGATTTTGAAGAAAATGGTGTTTGATATGTGGTAAATTATGTTGAAAGAAGTATGGTGTAGTTTTAAAACCGTAGAAAGTGGTATAATATTATTAAAAAATAAGTTTTAAGTTGAAATCATAAAATACCAATTAAGTCAATAGTAAACAGTGAGCTAAAAGACCATTTTTACTGTTTTCTAAAGCTTTTTTTTAATTTAAAAAATTTAAAAAAGCATTATTTTACAAGCTCATAAACGAATATTGCTAACTTATTTTAGTTTTTATGTCATGCAATGACAAAACGTCATAAAGTATGACAAAACAATTTTTTCAAAACTTATTTTATATTAATATAGTTCAAAACTATAAAACTTCTTTATTAAATTTAGAATTGAAATGACCGTATTTTACTCAATTAAAGCCCTCACTTAACAGCACACTTTCTTAAACAGCCCTGTTAGCAAAAAATTTCTTCGGCTGTTGAAAAGCGAACGCAGCGTGAATAAGCGCACATTGGAGAAGAAGTTCCTCGACTGTTCGTCTTCGAACGTTTGACGCGTGATCTGTTCGGCCAAGTGTAAATGGCGAATCCCAAGACCAAAACGCTATTGTTCCGGCGGAGTTTGATCTTATTGTTTTTTTAAGTTGACATTTTTCTTTTTAGGTGTTATTTTAAAAATATCGTAGCAAATTTGTATAAAGAATTACTGAGAAATTATAAAGTTGTGCTTTATAAAGAGGTTTTTGGAATATTGTATGTTGTGGTAGGTAACGTTGAGCATAAGAACGAACAATAAAAAGTAAGATGAAAGAAGTAAAAATTTATTGCTAGCAAATGGATGAGTTAAACACTGTTGCGGTAAGAAGATAAGAGGAAGGAGTATTGCAGGTAAGAGCAACATAGGACAGAACAGGCCAGAGTAAAGTAGAGAAAAGAAAGGCAAAGCAAGGCAAGGCAAGACAAGGCAAGGCAAGGCAAGGCAGGGCAGGGCAGGGCAGGGCAGGGCAAGGCAAGGCAAGGCAAGGCAAGGCAAGGCAAGGCAAGGCAAGGCAAGGCAAGGCAAGGCAAGGCAAGGCAAGGCAAGGCAAGGCAAGGCAAGGCAAGGCAAGGCAAGGCAAGGCAAGGCAAGGCAAGGCAAAGCAAGGCAAGGCAAGGCAAGGCAAGGCAAGGCAAGGCAAGGCAAGGCAAGGCAAGGCAAGGCAAGGCAAGGCAAGGCAAGGCAAGGCAAGGCATACGTTGCTCGTAAAGAAAAAACTCTGTAAAACCGTACTAAGCCTATTAAAAGTTTGGTAGCGCTAAAAATAGTATCTTGTGCGCTCAGTATCATTTACTAAATTGGTCTAGTTTTAATCTTAATACTTACAGTACTTAAGCTAAACTATTATAAATTACGTTGCACGTTTGTTTTTTGCATTAACTAGCCTTTGAGATTACTAGGTTTGAACTTGTAACATAGCATACCGTTCGCTAACGAAGGACGTACATATTATAATGGCACATGACAGCTCAGACACAAAATGTCAACACACTTCAGAACCTACTACCGTATGCGTGTTATTCTACACTTAGTGTCCAGTTAAGGTACAAAAAGCCAAAAAGTGTGTTTTTTGTTGTTAGCGAGTTTAGTCATACCATAACATATTTTGACATACGATAATACTATTTTTCTTACTTACAACTAATAATAATGTCACGTAAGCGTATGCTTTGTTACTAGAACACGTATCCATTACATAACGCTGTTTTTCTTTACTGTAGCAGGATGTAGATATATAGTTTCACTACAAAAAAGATAGTTATGTTGCCGCTGTTTTACTTTACAAAATATTACTATAGCGATAAGTAGTAAAAGTGATGTAGGATCATGCAACTGTTAGTCTAGGGTAGGGTAGGGTAGGGTAGGGTAGGGTAGATTTTTTGTACTTTTGTAACTTATTTTACATGACAGTCACAAATCATACTGTGCTGTAAAAAACATAAAACCATTTTTTTGTTGTAAAGCATCGTACAACTAAAACAATAATTTCAAAACCTTTTCCAGAATACAACATTCAATTTTACAATCCATTTTCGAATGTTTGTCTTATCTTTAATCTCGAACCTCTTTTCTTTGAAGAAAATCGCTCTTAAACTAGCATTCTTTTGCAACGTGAACTCTTTTCACTCCTCCCACTCTCTCCCCACCGCACACTCTCTCGTTTCGGTTTCAAATGTGCGCACATAGCGAGTGTGGGAACAGCCGGCTGTTCCGTGGGCCCGCGGCCTAATTCGCAATTTTTTCCAACTGTCTCTGCTCAAAACGTTCCACAACGTTCCGCCGAAAAAAAACATTGTTCTTCTCTTCCCGTCTATGTTTTGGTATCTTTGCTTTTTTTGAAACGTGATGTGAAACAAAACGTGAGTCGAGGACTATCAATGAGGCTGACTGCCGTTCTTTCCGGATGGGCATGGGTTTTTGGGTAAAATACGCAGTGTTTATTTAAAATTGTAAATTTTTTATTACTTTAATTATTAGTGCTGGGCGAGTAATTTTGATATGGAGCAAAAAGTAAGGGAAATTTTTCAATTTAGCTCTAGCTCTATCTTTAGCTGTAGTTGTTTGCTGTCTGTAACTTTAGCTTTAGCTCTAGCTTTAGCTGTAACTGTAGTTTTAATTCTTGTTTTTAAAATTGTTTGTTATAAAAGAGTTTTGTTATACAAGGTTCTTAAAGGCACACAGTAACGATATCCAACAAAACCTCTGGCTATTAGACTCATAAAAGAGGCCGGACTGGGCCAATTCGGGTTTAGAGGCCTCTTTTTAAGACTACCGACTACCGTTACAAAATGAATTTATAAACCCTTGTATAACAAAACGCTTTTATAACAAATAATTTTAAAATTCCCGCAATTTGTTATACAGAAGTTCCACTGTGTAAAACCCTAAATTCAAAAAATGAAAAAAAGACATTTTTTGTGCTTTGATTTGCATTTTTGTCTGGTAAACATGAAAGAAATTTTTTAAACGTCGGGGTCACGTGTGTGTTCGAAAATCCTTAAAATATTGTTTGGCCCTTTGCTTTTTTACTTGTTTTTGACTTTTAATTCCAATTCTGAGTGTCATAAGCCATAAAACGTGAGGTTTTTAAAAAAATATACGTTTTTGTACATCTTTAAAATATAAAATTTTTTTTTATAAATTTTGAAGTTTTACAACCGTATTTTTATAATTTTAGGTAATATATTAGATTCAGCGGCCTTAAGAGCAAAGTTTCAGTTGCATCTAGTACACTGTAACTATTATTTAGTTTTTTTACTTCAAAGTTATTTTTTACCTTTTTTAACCTAGTTTACAATACCAAAGTTAGAGTACTCAAAAACCTTTTCAAAGCTTTAATCTAAAGTTATATGATTGTATGTTGGCATGCAACAGTAATCGCTTAAGCAAGTGGCATTAAACTGTTTATGTACAATTAGTAATAGCAAGGCGGCATAAATACAGTGTATGTCCCAGATGTAACTACAGGCTTTGTAGAAGATTTGACATTAATTTTACCGTTTATTTTTGAGCAGTTTCTTAATCTTACTGTAGGTTTATATGGTTTGTGTTCAAGTGATCAAAATTTAAAATGCCATCTCTGTCACACTTTTTTTAAAATTTTTTTAATATTACAAGCTACACTTTTAAAAAAACTACCAAAACCATCTCAAATTTCACAAATAGTCTGAGAAGGTTGTGTACCCGAATGTGCGGAACTAATCTAAAATGCAAGAAACACCTGAAATATTAACTCGTTTTACAATTCTTCGTGTAGCCTTTGATTATCTAGCCACATGGAGTGGTATATTATTTATGGTGCACGTGGTTATTCTGTTTTTAAGAATTTTTTTAGAATATTGAAGAAATTTTCAAAGGTTATAGCAATTTTTATTAAAAATACTTTAAGATTGTTGTAGAAAGGGCTTTAGCTTTCGCTTTATCGCTAGTTCTAGCTCTAGCTTTAGCTATAACTCAAGCCATTTATGTTTAGGCCTAGCTACCTTAAATTTTTGTTTATTTTTGCATTTTTTGACATGACGGATACTTTTTTAGTCATCCTTTTCTTTCTTTAATAGGTGACACAGACTGATATTTGTACCCTCATTAACTTTTTAGGTATCAAAATAAGGTTCTATTCTTATGGTGTCACGTACGTTCTACTACATGTTATTGTACTTTGTAGTTTAGTGTTCAAAAACAAGCCAAACCGTTATTTTTTGCCAGGTTCTACTCTCAGTTTTCAAGTATGTTACGTAACACAACTACAGTATAACACCTAATTTGGTAGTTAACTTTCTTTTTTTCTGCCCTACCCTACCCTACCCTACGCGTTTTTCTATTAGAACTACCTTTCTTACTTACCTTTCTGTTAGCACTAGCCATTTCTTGTCTCCGCTTAATTTCTAGCTAGCTTACTTATACTCAACGTTACCTACTACAATATACGATATATTACTTAAATTTCTATGTCTATTAATGTAAATCA